CGCTGACAGACAGAGCTTGCATAAGCACTGACTGAACATATGGAATAAATCTTTGTCTTGAATTGCTATCATAACTTTACAGTGTATGAGAAACAATATGCTAAAGTTACAAGCATAACCTGCTTATTTTCATTTGGATTTTATTCTGGCTTTTTAACTGTGTGATTAAAGACAGAACCAATAAAATAAAATCATAATAAAATCATTTGCTTTGACATTAAAGCAAATTTGCTCTTTTAAAAAGATCTGTGTGTGTGGTTCTAATATGTTTATCTCTAAAACATGTAAACCCATAACTAAGCACAAACCCATTATTCTGAACATTTGGATTTGGGGACATCACTCCAATCTGGTGACCGCTGAATCCATTCAAATAAATAAATAATTTAGAGACCATCTAAATCAAACATACCTACTGAAATTGTTTATCATCACATATGATTACATGTAACTTTAAAAATACCACTGAATTCCCTCTATCAAAGTTGCTACAACGGGCCTCCCTCGTGGCACAAGGGGTTAAGCACAGCACTATGAAGAAATCCGCAGCCTCTGCAGCACAAGTTTGATCCTCGACTGGCCAGGGAGCAACCCACAAGGCGCAGCAGACCTCTCCTGACTCACCCGCTGCTTCCCTCAGCAATGTACCTTGGTCAGTCTGCCTGTTCTGTTCCCCACTCTGTCTCTGGTGAATCCTCTTACGCCCCTGCACCTCTGGCCTGTACCCCCCAGCTCTTGTATGCATAAATAAATAAATCTTTTTTTTTTTTTAAATATTTTATTCTCTTTTTTTTTTTTTTTTTTAAGATTTATTTATTTATACAAGCACTGGGTACAGTCAGAAGCACAGGAGGGTGAGAGAATTCACCAGAGCCAGAGCGGGGAGCAGAGCAGGCAGAAGGACTGAAGTACACTGCTGAGGGGAGCAGCAGGCGGCAGGAGAGGTCTGCGAGGTCTGCGCGCCATGTGGGACCCTCCTCCGGTGGCCGGGGAGCAGCCAGGGATCGAACCGGCGCCACAGAGGCCGCGGTCAGCTTCGCAACCCAGCGCTCAACTGCTGCGCCACCGGGGAGGCCCAATAAATAAATCTTTTAAAAAAAAAAAAAGTTGCCACAAAAAAACTTTTGCTCTTAAAAATCATTTAAGAAATAAGTCACCTCAAGCCTAGCTTAATATTATAGCTACATGGCATATTTGCAAATTTTCCTAGTAATCAATAATTTTAATTAAATTGAAATAAAACTTTCTAAACTTTTTCACTAACTACATCTTCTGGTAGTCATCTCAAAAGACACCCATTAGTTCAGTAATTATCAGTCACATTAATTGTGTTACAAAGCTATAAATCATACTTTCACCTGTGTATCTATCAGAAATGTATGCTTATATTACTTTATCAGATTGAGAAAATATCACTGCTATAATGAAGCTATTTTTCTTATTATAATAAATATTTCATAAAATGCTTTTATGATAAATTTCATTTTAAGGATATTTTCTCATAATAATACATGATACTAACATACCATACTTTAGCAACAAACTTATAAACTTAGAAAACACACCATAAGCAACAAAAATTAATGGATACAATACTTTCTATCATGTCCATTGTTCAATTATAATTTTCTGTCTGGTTATACATTTTAATAAAAAAAGTCTTTAACTCAAAACTTTAATATAGAAGTTAAGTCCCTAACAGTAGTCTATAATCACATAACACAATACATATTCACTCTGTAAACGTGGTATATCTTAAATTTGATTTTTTATCTTTTAAATAGCAATAGCAGCAACTCCTTTTGTGAAGCTAAATGCTGCCACAGAGTTTAAGGTCAGGAGTGATTGGCGATTCAAGCTCTGGAATCAGATTTTTACAGATACATCAGATGTGTGATGTTAGTACCCTGTAGAACATAAACTCTACAAAGGGGTTTTTCTTTTGTTCAGTGATGTATCCTCTACATGTAAAATAGCACATGACACACATAATAAGCATTCAATAAAAATTGGTTGAATGAAGGAATTCATCTAAGTCTTATGATGAAAGAATGGCTAAAGCATTTTTCTTATTACTTCATTGGAAATTCAGATGAGCTAAATGAGAATGCTGGACGAGTCTGGTTTCTCCCATGAATGATAACAGTACTGGTAGTAATAGTAACATCTTTATCCTCATCAGTTTTAAGCTTATTTTGTAGATAAGAACACACCTGCATCTTATTTACCCATTGCATATCAGGTTCCTAACAAGCTACAGGGATTGCAATATTACATATATTGAAATCTAGCTGTTTTATAAATTTATGAATTTTAAATCATAACTTTCATAAACAGGCTAGAGATTATCCATAAAGTATGGGTGGTTATTTTTTAATGAAAAATGGTTGTCCCCTTAATTCCTACTTGTAGGATTTGTCAAAAATAGACAATAATAAAATTTTAAAATTACCTAAAAATAAAGTTTTCATGAGATAAAAATATATGGGATCTACACACCCAGACTTCAAATTATACTACAAAGCCATAGTAATCAAAACAGTATTGTATTAGAACAAGAGCAGACATCTGGAATAGAATTGAGAGTCCAGAAATGAACCCACACATCTATTAACAGTTAATCTATGACAAAGAAGCAAGAGTATACATCTGGAAAGAAGAGTCTCTTCAACAAGTATTGCTAGGAAAACAGGACAATTACATGCAGAAGAACTAGATCACCACCTCACATTTTACACAAAAATTAACAAAATGGATTAAAAACATGGACAAAAGACTCAAAACTATAAAATAAAATTGAAGAAAAATTAGGCAAAACACTGTACAACACTGCCTTCAGAGATGTCTTTGAAGATCCATCTCCAATGGCAAGAGAAGAAGCAAATTTTAAAAAATTGGATTACATTAAACTAAGAAGCCTCTGCACAGCAAAAGAAACTATAAGTAAAACAAAAAGACATCCATCTGAATGGGAGAAAATATTTGCACATAATACAACGGACAAAGAATTGATATCCAAAATATATAAAGAACCCATGCAATTCAAAAAAAGAAAACATTAGTGTAATCAAAATATGGGCAGAAAAGCTAAATAGACACTTCAGAGAAGACAAACAGATGACCAACAAGCATCTGAAAAAGTGCTCATTATCACTTATTATCAGGGAAATGCAAATTAAAACCACAATGAGTTGCCATCTCACACCAGTGAGGATGGCTAATACCAAAAAGAGCAGAAACAACAAGTGTTGGTGCTATGTGGAGAAAAAGGAACCCTCACACACTTTTGATAAGAATGTAGACTGGTCCAGTCCCTGTGGAAAACACTGTGGAGGCTTCTCAAAATATCAAAAGTAGACCTACACTATAAGCCAACAATCCCACTTGTAGGTATCTATCTGAAGAACACAAAACACTAACCTACCAACCCACCCACCCATCCATCCATACATACATACATACACAGACAATGGATTACTACTCAGCTATTAAAGAAAAGATGAATGTTTGCCATTTGCAACAAGATGGATGGAACTGGGAAGGATAATGCTAAGGAAAATAAGGCAGAAGAAAAAAATAAAGACAAAAACCAGATAGTCTCATTTATATATGGAATACAGAAAAACTAAACAAACAGTCTGTATCAAACAAATAATGCAATCCTGCTATCTGACAGCAAAACTGAGACAACTGGAAGGGGAGGATAGCAGGGTACTTAAAAAACACTTTGGCAATTTCTTTCCATAAAGATCTAGTTTTCCAGTGGTAGTTATTTATCCAAAAGAAATGAAAGCATCTGTCCACACAAAGACTTCTACATTAATGTTCACAATAGCTTGACTTACAATAGCTAAAAATTAGGGACAATTTTTGAACTATTTCACCATGAACCTTGCATTTTGCTTATAGTCAAAACCATAATATATCAAAACTATATTGATGGTATCAAGAGTCTGCTTTAAATGTCAGAGAAACAAATGAAATAAATGAAGAAATAAACTCAATAAATCTAGGCATAATGTCAACATGGAACTGGGTACCCATTTCTCCTGGGTATTTGGCATAAAAACTTAGGTCCACATAATAATATATACACAGATGTTTATAACAGCTCTATTCATAATCACCAAAAACTGGAAACAATACAAACTTCTTCAACCAATGAATTAATAAACAAGCTAAGTTAAAGCCAGACTGGTATTCAAACAAGCACAAAGTAACAAACTACTGTATATACAAAACCTTAGGTAAATCTCAAAGCTATTATGCTCAGTATAGGATACCAGCCTCTAAAATATATACTTTGGGGCCTCCCTGGTGACGCAATGGGTTAAGACACAATCTATGAAGCTATCCGTAACCACTGCAGCACAAGTTCAATCCCCGGACGGCCAGGGAGCAACCCACATGGCGCAGCAGACCTCTCCTGACTCGCCCGCTGCTCCCCTCACCAGTGTACTTCGGTCAATCTGCCTTTTTTGTTTCCCACTCTGTCTCTGGTGAATCCTCTCATCCCCCAGATCTCTGGCCTATACCCCAGTTTTTGGATGCATAATAAATCTTTAAAAAATATAAATAAAATATATACTTTATGATTTAATTTATGGGACATTCTACTGTGGTGGAAAATCAGTGGTTGCCAGGGGATTGGAAGGTGGGTATGATTAAAAAGGGGTAGTTTAAGGGGCTTGAGTGGGGGGAGGGGGTGTGTGAGAACTATTCTGCATCATGATTGTGCTGGTAGTAACATAAATCTTCATGTGTTAAAATTCAGAGACCTATGTATGAAAGGACCAATTAAATGATAATTTTTAAAACAGTATTTCTAAGAAGTTAATTAATTTTACTCACCAATTTGGAAGTGTGACAATATTGCAAAGAGACAATTATTACATAAATTTACTCAGTATTTGTTAACAGTACTAAATTAACAAGTCAACATATCAAGTGACAAAAAAAATCTTTAAAACTCTACTTTCTGATAAAAAAAAATGACTTACCAAGTTCATTGAGGCTTTGAGCAGCTTTAGTTATCTCTTTACTGCCCCCCTGCAGTTGTCCTTGGAGTCTCTTACTGAGATACAAGATACGAATTATTCTCCGTAGCAAATCACAAGCAACCTGTGCAAATATCATAATATTAAACAAGTTTAGTGAATCCATGAAATTTCATTACTATTATGTAGAATCTGTCCATTCTTTCCAGATGCTAGAGATTGGTTCTTTTTGTGTTCTACCAGCCAAAATCCTAAATAAACACAAGTCTTAAAAAGCATTTTACAATAAACTAATTTATCCCAAATGGAGAGAATTTTGAACTGAGGTCTATGAAACTCAGGGTGTCTTCTCTTCAGTTCTAGGCTAGGAAGAAAACTAATGCCCTCACTAACTAATGGGTCTCGGTCATCATATTAAATTCAAGTGGGTAGATTCAAAAGTATCAATACCCAGGTCAGATCCCTTACCAACTAAATCAGAATCTCAAGGGGTGGCAACTAATCACCAGTTTAGTACCCTATAGTGTTGCCAGTGTACAGCCAAGACTGCTTAGCTTCCTACTATTGCCTCCTATTCTTTCCAAACCTTGTTTCCTTTCCCAGATCCCCAGGGAAACAGACTTAAAACTTCCCCCAATATTACTAGACTTTAAAGAATATGCATGCCCATCTTGAATTTTCCCAATTTTTTTTATCACTAATAACAAAGTCATGATAAAGAAAATTATAAAACAAAATTAAAAAACCCAAAAAGCTGTTATTATATTTTACCACCTATTTCATTACCACATCTAATAATGGGTCTGTACCTCCAAAAGATTAAGACACAAAATAAAAACTCATGCATTCCATGACATTTTTTAATTTAAGTTGGATCCAGAGCAACTGACTGGGGGAAAGTAAGCAGGAGAACATATGAAACAATAGATAAGTAGTGACCTTCAATTTCAATAATGCTAATGAAAACGAGAGAGAGTCTAAACTGCTATATCACCAACATCCTTGAATGATGTTGAAGCTGGTTGAGAAGAACATTTCCCATCTAAGGAGACAGAATTAAAAGCCCTGGGAAGATAGGATCCCTGAGTGTCTAGCTAGAAACATTTTTTTCTGAGTGAAATACCCATACACCAGAATCACATACAGTCACAGTAATGCACCCACAAGTCACAACATGCACACACACACACAACATACATAAACATAATTATATAATCAAAAATACGAATGTTGGGGCCTCCCTGTTGGTGCAAGGGGTTGGAATGCAACCTATGAAGCTATCTGCAGCCACTGCACCACGAGTTCAATCCCCGGCCAGGGAGCAAGCAACCCACATGGTGTAGCAGACATCTCCTGACTCGTCCGCTGCTCCCCTCAGCAGTGTATTTCAGTCAATCTGCCTGTTCTGTTCCCCACTCTGTCTCTGGTGAATCTTTCACCCCCCAAAACCTCGGGTCTGTACCCCAGTTCTTGTATGCATAAATAAATCTTTTTAAAAAAATGAATATTCCCAAATACAGGTCAAAGGCAACCAAGCATTAAAAATGTTTACCTGACACCTTTCTGAGTAACTATATTCTGAAATACTTAAAATATAATAAAAGACCAAATAAGAATTTCCCCCTGGCAACTGAAAGATTTGAGCATCTTTATCATTTAATTAAATGTATTTATTTTCTGAATAGGTAATATAAGTGCATAGTTCAAAAATCAAAAGATAAAAACAATAAAAAGTTTCCCTCATATCTCTGGGTCTTAACTATGTTCTTACCACAAATAAGCACTGTTACCAGTTTTTTCCTGGTCAGATAGCATTTTCAGATTAACCATTTTGAATATAGCATCCCTAGCAACCATTCCTCTGAGAATCTAAATATATCTTGAGGAGAAATACCAGATCTTACTTTAGTGTAATCAGTGAGAATTGATCTTCCAGAATTTCCCACTACTAACCCAATAAAGGATAAGTCTTCCGTCATAAAATCTTTGCGTTTGTATCTAATGCTTTTACCTTTAATTATATGTAATCTGTCACCAAGTTTTATTGATTATTCCTCTGGTTTAACACGACATGACAGTTATATCACTTCTATTACCACAAGCATCACCCTAATGTAAATCTTTACCATCTTCATCCTAACACTGTGGTCCAGTCCCTTACTGAAATCCAACGAGCCATGTTTATCTTCTTAGAAACACACTTTCCAGCATTCCTACTCCCTTTTTAACATACTTCAGAGTTTCTCTTCTAACAGATTACACAGAATCTTAACAGTATATAATTTGAAAAATTCTGTCAATAAGTTATATAAGGCATCAACTCTCATCATTTCCTAATACAGTTGTCTCTATTTCAATCAATTGCTTTTTCCTTTCCTTCCTTATTTTTTAACTTTTATTGTCAAACATAATACAAGCATATTATTCAGCAATAATAAGAAAGGAACTACCAAATCACAAAAAGACATGGAGGGAACTTAAATGCTCATTACTAAGTGAAAGAAGCCAGTTTAAGAAAGGTACATACTACATGATTCCAACGATATGGCATTCTAGAAAAGGAAAGACTATATAGATAGCAAAAACAATAATAAAAATAAATTTCAGTGGTTGCCAGGGAGTGATGGGATGACTAGGCAAAGCACATAGAATTTTTAAGGCAGTGAAAATATTCTGTATGACACTATATTGACTGATAAATATACATACGTACAGACCTATAAAATGTACAACAAAAAAATGCAAACTCTAATGTAAACTATGGACTTTGGGTGATAATGATTCACCATTGTAGGTTTATCAACTGCAACAAATGTACCACTCTAGTGAGGGGTGTTGTATAAGAGGAGGTCAAACATCTGGGTACAGATGGTATATGGAAATCCTCTATATCTTCCTCCCAATTTTGCTGTAAACCTAAAACTACTTTAAAAAATTATAATTTGAATATGTATTCAAATATATAAACATATTTATATATCATTTCATGCTTTATACATATGAATTTTTTATATACATGTACACATAGAAAATCACATACAGAAATTAAAGCTAAATGAACTAGGAATCACCATCCAGATCAGGTAAAAAAAGCATACCAGCCACCCTGGAAGTACCCCATGGACCCTCTCCTCTAATCACTACACCTGCCCTCCCTCCTGCTCTGCTTCTCCATCTCACCTAAGAGAAACCACAATTATTAATTTTATGGTAATCTTCCTCACTTTTATTTATGGTTTTATTATTTATTAAATGTTTATATTTAAATTCTATCATTTAACTTTCCTCTTTTTAAAACTATATATATTCCCTCACCATCTATTTTTTTGCAACTTACTGAATATACTGGATCATCTGTTCTATAGCATTTTTCACAAACTGCATTTCCATAGACTACTTCCCATGTTCCACTGTCTTCTATATTTCTATCAATTAATAGCTGGATGTACATGGCTTCATTCAAGTTTAATATTTTTGGTAAATTTATTCCATAGGTGGTAGTGTATTTATAATACTTATATGATTCTGTTTTTGTGTTGTGAGAAGTTATTGCTGTTCAGTGTCAAAATCCATTAAAATAATAGTGATTACAAAATGGTGATACTCCAATTCCATTGTTTTGTCTTTAACTTCTAGCATATAAAACTTCCCTATAAAAATAAACTTCATCTCATCTACTATCTGTTTACTCAAATTGTTCATACAGGAAAAAATAAATACCCAATGGTATTATTCATACAGGAATAAATACTTGATTCTTTCCTTTAGAATGTGTTTAAAATTGAGGACTTTCCTAACCAAGATGAATAATAAATGAATTTTGCTTTGATTTTACTATATAAATGTAAACAATTGATTTATATAGTTAATTAATAAAATTATATATGTGTAAATGTTAATCCATTGTAGCTCTTGGTCTTGTAGATATTCAAATTGTCCCATTTTGGGCCAAGAGGAAACTGAGGGTGATCAACTTCACTGGTTTCCCTGAGACTGAGAGGTATGCAAGACATGAGACTTTCAATGCTAAAACTGAGATAGCTAGTCACCTTAGAGGCTGTTCAAGTCAGCTCCTGAGTCCTATCATCATGAATCTAGTAGTTATTAATAGCTTCCTTGGTATAATATAGCACAAAAATATTCTAAGACAGCTTTATATATTTCATGCCCCAGACCTACACTCAAAGTTAAAAAAAAAAAAATCAGAAGCCCAGAGTACTGAATCTTCCAACTTACATCTGTACATTATTTCTTCCACACTGAGACTTTTGACTCTCAAAGATGAAAGAAATAACAAAATCAGAATAATTTAAGATTATTCATATCCTTTACTGTACAACACACAAAAAAAAATCTGTATAACAAGCCAAAAGGACAAGCAAAAATGTGATTGATGAATAGTTTTAAAAAATTGCTTTGCACACACCCTCCCCAGTTTTTCACAGTTGAATTTTATTTCTCTGTCCAAACAAAAGTATATGATAAAACTATGTACATATAAAGCATAAGTATATAAAAAGTGAAAGGTTTTATAAATGATTTTCCCCTTCATTCCAGCATTTTCTCATTCTTACATAATTTCGAAGTATAAAAATGACATTAAAAACTTAACTGAAATGCTAAAAAATTTGTATGACTTAAAATAGTTAAAATGATAAAAACTTACACAGTATGTGAAGTATATCTCAAAGCTTTTTTTAACTTTTTGATTAAAAGTGCTAGAAACTTATAAAATTTGAAAGTTAAAAACTCATTTTCTTACATAATTTAAAAGCTAAAAAATTTAAATATTCTATGTAAGGGATAATAAGCTCTTCAAAATTTCTTTCTGAAAAACTCTGATGCAATTCATAAGCAAACAATGTTACTAAAATGAACTAAAATAGAGATGATTCTTGGGTGATAATTAAATTCAACTCGTGTATTCATGTATATACATGCAGTCAGAAGCTTCTGCTTGGAGAAAGAAAAGCTTTCTGGAAAGAGAGTGAAATGCAGATAAAAAGCAAAAAGAATTAAGTACAAAATTGCTTTCTTCTAATTGAGGGTACAATCATTGAGATTTTACTTTCAATGCAAAAACAACTTTCTTATTTGCTTGCTTTCTCATACCAAAGGCATTTAAATGAATTAGCAACTCAAAGAATAAAGAGATTAAACAAGAAAATTAAAGTACCTCAGTGCTTAAAATGTACATGGTTAGACAGTGAACAGAATTAAAAACTGTTAAAACATAAATAATCTTCCAAGAAGCCCTTACTCCTCAAATAGTTTGAAAGGCAACAAAGTTTTAAGATGAACTTTATTCCTAAGGTAAGATGCCTTTGAGTTGATGCAGGAACAGTTAAATACTGGAATAAAGATACCAAAACATACCTAGACATATTTGCTTTTTCTTTCCCATCCATTCCTTTCTTTCTTTTTCTTTTCTATCCATTCCTTTCTATAATAATTTAGCCAAAGTTATTCAACTTAGCTGTCACTACAGTTTAATACTTTTTTACAATAAGAAGGTAGAAAATTAGGACTATTGTTTAATGATTAAAAAGTGTTTATTTAAACACAAGGAGTCCTGACCTCTCATGCTTATAAGACTATAAAATTAAATCTCTAGGGCCTCCCCTGGTGGCGCAGCGGTTGAGTGCTGGGCTGCGAAGCTGCCCGCAGCCTCTGCAGCACCAGTTCAATCCGTGGCCACCAGTGGGGGTCCCACATGGCACATAGACCTCTCCTGCCGCGCCCGCTGCTCCCCTCAGCAGCGTATTTCGTCAAGTCTGACTGTTCTGTTTCCCGCTCTGGCTCTGGTGAATTCTCTCACCCTCCTGCGCTTCTGACTGTAACCAGTGCTTGTATAAATAAATAAATAAATCTTAAAAAAAAAATTAAATCTCTAAAAAAATAAAAGAAAATATATAGAACACCTTCATAGAGTCATAGCATTTTAGAGCTGGAAGAGAATTCACAGATCTAGTGCAGACTTACACTGCAAAGAAAAAAAAAAATACTACGCCACCACTACAGCACAGCAACAAAAATGATAATTATGCGAAGTAAAGAATGTGTCAATGAACCTTATTACGGGAATCATTTCACAATATGTCAATATACAGGTAGAAATCATCACCTTATAGACCTTAAATTTATATATTATGTTAACTGTATCTTGGTATTTCCAGTGACAATCCTAACTGGTATTTTAGTAAAAATTGACAAGCTCATACTAATATTTTAATGGAATTGCAAAGAAATTAAATAGTATCCTTTTTCAAGATCATTTGGCTTTAAGCTGCAATACTTGAGGCATTGCAGTACTGATACAAAGGCAGGAAGCTAGGTCAACAGAAGAGAGTAGAATTTAAAACAATCCCAAACACATAATAGCGCATAAATCTTTTCATTTTTCATATTAGAGTCTTCATATCCTTTGGGTAAATAAATACCTAGCAATGGCATTACATGGTATTTCCACCACAGAGTTGTATTTGGGAATGTACCCCCAATGGCAAAGGAAACAAAAGCAAAAATAAACAAATGGGATTATATCAAACTCAAAAGTATTTGTAACTCAAAAGAAATCACCACAAATACAAAAAGGCAATCTACAGACAAGAAGAAGATGCACATCACATCTAACAAGGGGTTAACTTCCAAAATATATTAAGAACTCATACAACTCAATGACAACTAAAAAAAATCCAATCAAAATATGTGCAAAAGACCTAAATAGACACTTTCCCAAAGAAGATACTGAGATACAGGCACATGGAAAAATGTTCAACATGACTTATTACATGGGAAATACAAATCAAAACCACAATCAGCTATCATCTCATCCCTCTGAGAATGAACCTATATTAATTAGACTGGAAACAAATGCAGAAAGGATGTGTAGGAAAAGGAATTCTCATTCACTGTTGTGGAACGTAATTCAGCACAGCCTCTATAGAAAAGGTATGACGATTCCATAAATACTATAAATTTTGTATTTTTTAAACTGAGTATCTTATTCTAAAGCTCTTTGATGTTTTTCTCCTTTTCTCTTATATTTCTTTACCTCCTCAGGAATCACACTATTGAAATCTTTCATAAAAACAAAATGAACAATAGAGTATAAAGAAATGAAAAATGAGAGTCTACCTGCAGTCTTGCTAGTTGTGCAGTACGGGAGACTATTTTATTGTATGGCTCAACAATTTTTGCCTTCATCCTGAAGGAAAAAAAAAAAGTGATGATACAATCTTCAAAGTATCAATGGATAAAAATATTTCTTTCTAGGGGCCTCCCTGGTGGCACAAGGGGTTAAGACTCAGCATTATGAAGCTGAGTGGCACAGTGGCAGCACGAGTTTGATCCCTGGCCAGCGAGCTAACCCACATGGTGCAGCAGACCACCCTTGTCTTGCCCACTGCTCCCCTCAGCAGTGTCTTTCAGTCAATCCACTTGTTCTGCTCCCCACTCGGTCTCTGGTAAATCCTCTCAACCCCTGCACTTCTGGCCTATACCCCAGCCCTTGTATGCACAAATAAAACAAATCATCAAAAAATATTTCTTTCCATTTATTTAAAAAATGAACAACAGTACCTATCAACAGCTCCCTGTAAAGCGCCAATTCTTGTCTGCATCATCTGAAGAACACCTAGGAAAATGCAAGAGCTTGTATTACTTAACAAATTTGCAGGGTTCAAATAGCTAAAGGATCAACAAATTTTTATTAAAATTTATTTACATATTAACAGCAGAGCATAGTTTTTGCAACAGTATGACCTGCAAGATCTAAAATACTTACCATCTGACCCTTAACAGGAAAAGTTTGCCCATCCCTGACCGAGCCCCATCTAACATAATAGTTAACATAAAGATACCTTCCAAAGACTCAATCCCAGTTGCTTGTGCCAGTAAATCTTCATGTCTTGCAACAACCTGAAAATCAAGAATGAATAATCTCATTTGCTTCAGTTAAGTATTGAGCAGTTTCGTTTGTGACCACAATGTGGAAGCGACAGCCTTGCCATGACAGAAAAGGGGCAAAAACTAACATAAAAGAAAAAATACAGGGCCTCCCTGGTGGCGCAGGTGGTTGAGTGCCACAGCACTGTGAAGCTGTCTGCAGCCTCTGCAGCGTGGGTTCAATCCCGGTGGGTCCAAGAGAAACTCACATGGCATGGCAGACCTCTCCTGTCTCACCCACTGCTCCCCTCAGCAGTGTATTTAGTCAGTCTGCCTGTTCTGTTCCCCGTTCTGTCTCTGGTGAATCCTCTCACCCTCCCACACATCTGGCCTATACCCCGGTTCTTATATGGCTGAATAAATCTTTAAAAAAAAAAGAGAGAAAAAGAAATATAGGTTAGGAAGGTGTGTTTGATCTGAATAGTTAGCAGGAACATATACATACTTAAAGTTCAGTACAGAGTCAAAGAAGAGATAGTCTTTTCACTAGTCCTAGCCTTCCTAATGGGATGTGTGGGATGTGCCAGTGGAGATGTGCCAAAATCGAGAAGAAAAAAAAAAAGCTTAATTATTGCCACATGATTTTATACTTTTTCCTTTAAAGAACTTTTTCCAACATCAGGTTTTCTTAGTTCTTAAATTCAGCTTCATCATCAAGGTCACATACTAATCTTGAAAAAAAAAAGTAGTATCAGTGCCCACCTGTCTCTGAACATCTCTCTACTTTCAGTTTCCCAGGGTCACATAAATTGTCTTCTCTGCAGAAGATATTTATGAAAATTAAGGCAGTATGAATGGTCACAACAAAAGACCAAAAAGGTTAAGAGTTAAAAGCCACATGTAAGAGATTCTTAGAAATATCCCCCCCCAAAAAAAGTGAATCTTTAGAAAAATGCAAGAATCCTTATATTTTATATTCTTTTTTTCCCAGTGTATAATAAGTGTTATGTTTAGTCTGTAAAGCGAAGCTCTAAATCAACAAGGATTCATTCACTGGTACCTTCACACCTCCAGTGTCAGACAGCACTGTCATTATATCAAATCCTTTTCTGTCATATCCACCTAAAATATTACCTTTGCTCTCCTATGTCTTTTATCCTTACAACTGCCAGAAGAAGTTTGAATTTTCCCCTGTCTAATGATATGCTCATCAATTTGTCTATCCCAACAAGACTAATCTTCTTTTATTTCTCTATTCTGCTTTGTCCCTTGTGGTAAATACTTTGAAAAGTTGAAAGCCTAAAACTATACTTTCAGGGCCTCCCCGGTGGCGCAGCGGTTGAGCGCTGGGTTGCGAAGCTCCCCGCGACCTCCACGGCGCTGGTTCAATCCCCAGCTGCTCCCCGGCCACCGGAGGAGGGTCCCACATGGTGCGCAGACCTCTCCTGCCGCCCGCTGCTCCCCTCAGCAGTGTGCTTCGATCCTTCTGCCTGCTCTGCTCCCCGCTCTGGTGAATTCTCTCACCCTCCCGCACTTCTGACTGTACCCAGTGCATGTATAAACAAACAAACAAATAAATAAATAAATAAAATACGTGCCTCTTTAAAAAAAAAAAAAAAGAATGGTAAAGTGGTACACAAAAGGAGGAATAGTTTAAAAAAAAAAAAAAAAAAAACTATACTTTCAGACATGCCCCTGCAGCCAACTGACTGAATTCTAAGAGATTTGAAAGGAAGAACAGAGATGAAAGCTCTCTATTACTTTTTCAGACGTAAAGCCAAGTCCCAAAGTCTAAATATGTAGAGAGAGTTGAGACAGTTATATAGAACATTCTAGAGTTTAGTCACCAGATACTTAGGTGCAGAATTTTGGCAGTGTTATGGGAGGTAGCGCAGGAGCCTCCCAGGTTTCTGTGTTGCATCTATGGTATAGTTCCTTCAACTCTAGACATCCAGCCAATGATTTCATAATCATCCAATTCTCTGTATTAAATATCTGTCTGCTTTAAATGCCAATAGTGTGTTCTGTCTCCTGTACTAAGCACCAATTTTCATTGCAATGATACTTTGAATTATCTTTATTATGGATTTGGATAGTATTATACCAATTTTGCTCCTACAAAAAACCAGTTATAGTACCTTCAGCTCATATTGGAACTTAGTCTTCCTCTACCTCACATTCAAAATTACTTAAAGTATAATGTGACACATCAATAGATGTTAAGTAAATGTTAATATTTTTTTTCTATTTGCTTATAGCAGTTTTATTTAAACTACCAAGGACTTTGAAAAATAAGCTATAATGATAAATTAAATATGAATTAATAGCAGGAAATCTAGATTTAGGCTCATGTAAATACAGATTTAGGTTAAAGATTGTAGGGGCCTCCCTGGTGGTGCAAGCAGTTGAGATGTAACCTATGAAGCTATCTGCAGCCACTGCAGCACGAGTTCGATCCCTAGGTGGCCAAGGAGTAACCCACATGGCACAGCAGACCTCTCCTGACTCACCAACTGCTCCCCTCAGCAGTGTATTTCAGTCAGTCTGCCTGTTCTGTTCCCCACTCTGTCTCTGGTGAATCCTCTCACCCCCCTCACCTCTGGCCTGTACCCCAGTTCTTATATGCGTAAATAAATCTTTAAAAGAAAAAGATTGTAAGAATGATAAATTATCACTTAGACTGCATAATCTGTATGAGCCAGAAAATTGGGATTACCTGTAGGTGTAGTTCTTTATCCAACTGACTGATTCCTTGGGCAAGTTTTGCTAGTTGTTCAGCAATTACAGCTTGATGAATAGATTGGGAAGTATAAGTCTTCACATCAAAATATTCATTTAAAAAATCACTATAACAATCTGGGGAAAAATAAGGAATGTAAGACCTTAGTTACTTGTTACTATTTTTTATCAAGGTAAATGGTTTACAATACCGTATATGATTCACAGGCATAAGACCATACCTATTCAGATGTATTTCCACATTGTCTTCCCCCCTCTCTAGCATGTAGCCTCAATTCCACAGTCACATTTCTACAGTTATTGGTTTGGTTTTATCTGATACTTTGTTTTGCTTCTCTACATTCCAATTTAAGTGAAACCATCTCGTATTTGCCTTTCTCCTTCTGACTTACTTCACTTAGCATTATCCCTTCCAATTCCACCCATGTTGTTGCACATGGCAAGTTATATTTTTTACAGTTGAGTAGTATTTCACTGTGTGTGTGTGTGTGTTGCATTTTCCTAATCCACTGATCTGTATGAAACCATAATTATTAATTATATTGGAATCAACCCCACATAATAAATAAAATCATTATTATCATAGTTAACATATCGAGGTCTTTCTTGTACTAGGAACTGTTAAAAACACTTTCTATAATACGGAGAAGGAAGAGGTACAGGCTACAAGTATAATATCCATTAACAGCTTACATGTGGCAGGCACTGATTTAAGCATTTTACACATATTAACTCATTCAATACTTGCAGAAGCCTAAGGAATTAGCCTTTTCTCCATTTCACAGGTGATGAGAAAGGGCACGCATGCAACTTGTCCAATAAGGTGAACCCAGTCTAGCTACACCGCCCACACCACAACTATAATTGATCAGTGGCTCAAGAGGAAAATAATGAGTAAGAGATTGAAATTTAACACTAATCGTAGTTTTTAACACAAAAAAAAACAAGATTAGTGACAAGAAAAAAGGAAAATTGACTGTACTTGATATTTATGGCCTCAGCTATCCCTAGATAAATGCCTATTCTTCTAATAAAATTAATCTGAATTTTTATAGAATCATAGTATTTTTATAGAATTATAGTATTTATAGTATTTATGCAAATACTTAGCAGGACTACTGAAACTAGGGTTTATGGGTGAAATAAGTAAATGTAAAGAGAAATTGTGTTCAAAACAGACCCTTAATAGGTAAGAGGATACTAGATTTCATAAAGGTATCCGGGTAGAACTCCGCAAATGTGTAGGCTAGAGAATGAAAAGTTAAAAATAGATACACAAAAGTGAGCTCAATGTAGATATAAACGTACCTACTAATCATCTCATAAATTTTGATAAGACTACCCTAATGGAGATTATGAAGCAAACTAAGTATTTATGAGAAAACTTCAATTGTCTATATCCAATATAATATATGCTTGATGAAGGCAATGTCTTGTTTTGCTTACTGCCACATTCCTAGACTCTAAACAGTGCTTGATACATGGTAATGAACAGTGGTTGGACGAACCTGTGTATTAGCTGGAAATATTCTGCTGAAAGCAAAGACTCATATTCTTGACTACTCTCAAAATGTAGTGGAGTAATAGAAGGAATCTGCTACTTTGGCCTTAATTCTGAAAAGAGCATTCCTCTCCAGTTTGCCAAGCAGCTCTCAGAATCAGGAGTCTACTGGGCAGAAAAATAAAGGTCATTTCATGAAGAGGGAAGGTTTAGAGGCAGCAATTATCATTGCTTATTTTGAAAAAGAAGGATAACAATGACTTCAGTGCATGTAGATCACCATCTGTGTGTGTATATTGGACACAAAAGATAAAGAATGTGGAAGCTAAGGTTCCCAAAGAAGACTGGGGGAGAGATGGGTAGAGGGAGTGTAATTGAAAAAGCAGCTGATAAGACAGCCAAAATGCTGAGACTACAACCCCTTTCAGACCTTAAGTCAAGAAAAAAGAACTGTCATCTTTGCGTTTTAGAACAAAAATGTTGGCAATAGTATGAAGGATGATTAAAATGAGATTAGTCACATAGTGGTGTGCTGGAGCTGTCTCATATTAACTCCTGAGAGCCAACTACTAAACGTCTACTAAGCCAGTAGGCGTAACATGTGGGTAACTAAAAATTGACCAAGGTGAGAGTATTTACACCATGGAAATCAGCATATGCCACAAAATCAGAACTTTTCCTATTTTCCTAGAAAGCTAGTTTATCAGCACACTGGTAGAATAGAGACAGAAGTAAGGTGGCCCAAGTGTCATGAGGAAGCCCTAAGAACACCATCAACTGACACATTTGACAAATATTTAGATACTATAATGTGTAAGACATAGTGACAGTTGAAAATAAGTGACTAGGAGGCGCAAGAAGTAAAGGATGACTCCAAGGTTCTTGATTAAATAACTGACATACAAAATTCAGCTTTGTAATAACTTAGACACTGGATGTACTAAGATATATTTCAGTGACTGTCTTTAAAGCTTTAGAAGATTATTTCCTTAATAATGGTTATTTTAATTGCACGTGTATATGAAGCTCAAAACTTGGTTAAACTGAATTTTAGTTAAGATACAAAGATGCATAGACAGAGATCGTAATCTCAAAAGTCTATCACATCAAATTCACAAGAGAACATCATTAGAACGTTTTGACAAAAGTGTATACATTATCAGAAAAGGGCAAGTAATTAAGGGCAATAATAAAATATACAACGGTCAGAGAAAACAAAAAATTTAGAACTTTTTTTCATTCACCTATAAGCTACTTTGGTCTACACATGCGTGCCTATGCTTATTACGATGATATTCAATAAACAGTAGGTGCAGAATAAAATTGTGTTTTTTGAACATCAATCATCATAACTAACGTTAACAAAAATTCCCTAATATTACCTGACAAGTCTGCATTCAAATTTTGTAGCAGTCCCCAAAAGTCTGTGATTGCAGTTTTGTTTTTTTTTAAACCAGATAAAAGTGGTGATGCGAAATATGGGCCATGTTAAATTAATAAAATTACTTAAAACAATTTAATGTGCATCTCAAATGTATTTCTGGAAACTTCTGCCCATGAGTGACTGAATAAATTTGCTAGATTCCATACACATAGTTAATCCCAGCCTGAACCAATGTTCAGACCCCCATTTCCCGCCCCATATTTCACACCTTGTTAAAAAACAAATGAGCTTATAAAGGGATCACCAGTATAGTTCAAGAATTTGTTAAGAGGGGATGTTCCCAATTGTATTTAATACTGAGCCCCTCTTTTAATTAGCTTCTATCATCTGTTCTAGGTGGGATGCAACGCTTCATTCCTTCATCAAGAACTGCGGAAGCAGCCGGTGGCTGCCAACGTGGGTCACTGGGTTCGGGTTCCCAGGACCTCAGGGAATCCAGGCGCGAGAGGGCAGAGTTGAAATGTGGAGCAGAGATCAAGTGTTCCCAATAATGGAAGGGGACAGCAAGTCCCGGGGGAAACAGGTTGTCCACGTCACCACCCAGACGCGAGGGGGCCGGGCGGAGGGGAGTGGTCAAGTCGAGACCGGAAAACTTTCTGCAAAGCGACGGGTTGTTCCACCACCCAGGCCCAGGTGCTAAGCAGGACAGCCCCGCAGCACCACGGTCCGGCCAGACTCCGGCTCCTTACCGTCTTGCAGAAGCTCCCGGACTGTCGCCGCAGCCGTTCCAGAGCCCAGATCCCGGGGGCCAGCCACAGCAACGCCGCCGTCGCTACCTTCCATGTTGGCAGGTGCCGGGGTGATGGCGTCAGCTGCGGGCCTGCCCCGCCCAGGCGATGACGCAGAATTCCGGCGCCGGCCGCTTCGCCCAGCCTGCAGGGGCTGACCTGCCCGGTGGATCCGTGCAAGGGTTGTAGCTGGACGGAGCCTGACCGGTACCTGAGTTCCGGAGCCGGCTGAGCATCCTGAGCCCAGCGCGCCAGAAAATTCTTGACCTTGGGACTGGCGTTTTCCGCGCTCTAACATCGCGCCTCTGGGACCGGCGGAAAACCAGGTGGGCGCCGGAACGTGGCCGCTGGCCTTGACCTCTAAAGCAGGTATTTAAGCTAAATGGGGCCTTGCGGCGAAGGTAGGACGGAAGAGACGAGGTTTCTGGGACCCCGCGAGCCTTCCACAAGCACAGCTGGCGACAGTTAGTAGTTATTCAGCATCCTCTCACCTGCCTTGGTTCGCCAGCCTGGAGTAAAGCAGGTGGGGAAGACATGAGATGCAAAGTTGCTGGGGATGCACAGTGGGGAGTATTAAAGAGAGCCGAGAAAGTCGATGAGAAGCAAGACTGAACCAAGAAAGGACTAGAGTGGTCTGCCCTCCCTCTCACGGGACCATGACTTTAAACTTTTTCTACCTCTTTCTCTCGTTTTCATTATCTCACCTGACAGTATTGAAGCTGTAGAGTTAATTTAGTTTCCATTCTGTCATCTCGGCTGAAACACATGCATTAATCACCTAGAATTCTCACAAGATAAATGCTGATATGTTAACAAATCAGCCACATGTGTGCAAGAACGTTAAGCACATTTTCATAGAAAGAAACTGTTAATAACTTTACCTTTGTGTACAGTAGTTGTGTACACAGGAATCCAATTTTTTCCCAACTCCAAAGCTGTGTGTTTGTTGTGATTCTTCTAATAGTATTTCAAGAAGCTGCTATAATAGTAATTACCATGTGTCAACCACATTTAATATTCAAAACAACTCAGGTGAACAAGACTGGTGGTTTATATAATTGGGCTTTCTTTTGACTTAGTCTCATAAGTTTTTCCTTTTGTTATTGATCTAGATCTTGCTGAGGATGGGATTAATAGTTCTGTATGCAGGTCACACAAATTGTGAAGAGCAGTATGCTCAGGTTTCATTATCCATAATGCTCAAAATTTGCTTTTAACAATTCTTGAATGTTAATGATGAATAAGCATTACCTTTGGATTATGGGGTTTTTTCCTTGACTTTTTATTAGGAAACTAGCCTCGTTTTGGTTCATTCAATGAAGACTTTTGAGACCCTGCTATATAAAAACCTGCATATGTATGCAAACATTCCTATCCTTTCCAAAAGGAGCTTATAGATAGGGTGGAAACTCATTTAAATAAATGATTATGCAAAGTGTTTTTGTAGTATTTGGGCTTATTTACTCCCCAGTGTGGCTGTGTGTTGAAATAACCTAGAAGCTTTTAAAACCACTTATGCCTTCATTCTACTTCCGGAGAGTCACATTTGACTCGTGTAAGGTATGGCTTGGGCATCCTGAATATTAAAAGCTCTCCAAAATCATTCTAATGTACTACGGAGGTTGAGAACAACCTTGTGGAAAGGACACTATCTTTTTGTTGCTTATACTTCATCTATTGTAGGTAGCTTATATCTTTCTAATCATAAATTTCATTTTAAAAAAAGATAAGTTAGTAACTAATTTTTTTGTGAGTCAGACTGATTGACTAATCAGTAAAACTACTTTATCTTACTCCAGCTGTACAATCTACCTAAGGAAATGGAAATGATTGATTTATATTTAGGTTATACCGGTATTTTCTGGATTAATCGAATTAAAAATTACACATTGAGCAGTTAAAGTTGGCCTATATCTGTTTCTAACTGTCCGAGGCCAAAAAATGGGAATATGCAAAGTATCCAGCCTATGAAATGATAGGCTATTGAGCACCAATATGAAGAAGCACTTTTGAACCATCAAATTTCATCACTTGCATCTCTTTCTTCAGGTAATAATTAAATTAAATTTTTTTGCTAGTTAATACCACATTTAAATTTTTTAAATAATAATTAAAGGTTTATTTGCTTTCTGATTCACAAAGATAGGATTTGAAAATAAAAATAAACATTAAATACACTAGTATATCTTTTGAAACACTGCTTGAAATTGTTCTTTTAATGGCATTTGTTTTTTTCTGGATAAAACAAGGTATTTCCAAGTGCCATCTATATTATATGTGAAATGAATCAAATCAAATATCTTGGCTCATCAAAACCAAACAAACTAGCATGGTGAAATTAAAAAGTAATGTGAAAAATAATGACATGGTAAACTAGAAAAAATATTTCCGTTTTCCAGGTTCTTTTTTTTTCCAAGAAAAAACTGCTAGTGTAGTAAGTGAGGTATAGATTTTAAAACTTAGTGTGTGACAAGGGTCAGATAAAGCCAGACTAACATAAAACCCTAGAAATCTGATTATAGAACTAAAGCTACCAGGAATGGGGAGAGAGCACAGTGAACTTGGGGATGGATTGTGTGTACTTTGGTGGTGGGTGTGGTGTAGCAACAACCAAATGGGGAGATCCTTTACCTTTAAAGCAAACATTTAAACCAATGTAACCTCAAAAAAAGCAGTGTATGCCATGAACAAGTGTAATTGATAATAATTTATAGTATGCTAAAAATTGTGAGTGACTTATAAATACAAGCACAATTCTGTAATATCCTATTTGATACTGTGAAAATAAGTTATAAAAAGATCCCTGGGCCCATTAGACTAATGAAAAATATATGGATTTGGCAAATGAAGTAGTAAAAATTATGGGAATTCATTCAGTGAAAGTACCTTTACTCTGCAAATTTCTTTCAGATTTGAAATACCTAATTCATGAAGAGCGACTGCATACAAACCATAATGTGTCAAGAAAGAAAAAATGATCCAATAGAAATGTTTCATTCTGGGCAGCTGGTAAAAGTCTGTGCTCCAATGGTTCGTTATTCAAAGTAAGTATTGTTAAATGGTTACTGAACTAACATGTGATTTCCTTTTTATGCTCTAACGGTAATAATAAGATTCCTCTACCACATGGGCTCTTCAGAAGCCTAGCTTTGGGATCATTATTTAGGCTTGAGTCCTGGTAGTCCCATTTGCCTAGTATGTTTGTTGCCCTGAGTAAATAATTAACCTCTCCAAGATTCACATTTTAATATCTATAAAAATGGTAGTGTTTATAATTCCCATATATAAAGATATTGTGGATATCAAATATATAAACATGCACAGGTTTTTGTAAGATAAGTCTTCATTTGTCTGCAACAAATCCTCTCGGCTATTTGATAGCTGTGTTTTTAGTTTAAGAAACTGTCCGATTTTTCCAGAGTGACATTTTATGCTCCCACCAACAACATATGAAGACTTGGACTTCTCACTGTCAGCAACTTTTGATAACTTCACTTTTTTATTTTAGCCAATCTGATTTGTGTGCAGTGATGTCTTGTGATTTTAATTTCTATGTCCTACTGATTATGAACATCTTTTCATGTTCTTGTCCCCTGTATATTGTTCAAAAAATGGGACCTCCCTGATGACTGAGGGGTTAAGTCTCAGCGCTATCAACAGTATCACCACTGTGGCCTGAGTTTGATCCCCGGCCAGGAAGCCAACCCTCATACAACGCAGACCTCTCCAGTCTCGCCTACTGCTCCCCTTAGCAGAGTATTTCAGTCAGTCTGCCTTTTCTGCTCCTGACTTTGTCTCTGGTGAATCCTCTCACCCTCCCCCTCCCTACACACACCTTTGACCTACACCCCAGTTCTTCTATGCAAAAATATATAAATATTTTTTTAAAAAGTTTCTTCATGTCTTTTGCCAATTCTAATTTTGCTTTTTTACGCTTAAGTTGTGTTTTTTCAATTGTGACAAAATACAAAATTTACCATTTTCAACATTTGTAAATGTACAGATCAATAGTTTTAGCTTTTTTGTGTATTCAGGCTCTCAAACTTTTCATCTTACAAAATGAAACCATGCCCTTTAAACAATAGCTTCCCATGCCTCCTTCCCCCAGTCCCTGGCACTCACTCTTTCTCACTCTATGAATTTGAGAACTCTTAAGTACCTAGTATAGAATATCTAAGTACCTGATGTAAGTATTTATGACACTGGCTTATTTTACTTAGCATAAAATATCCTCCAGTTCATCCTTGTAACATCAGAATTTCCTTCCTTGTTAAGTCTAAATCATAATTCATTGTGTATATATATATATATATATATATATATCACATTATGCTTATTTATATATCCTTTGATGCATACTTGGATTGCATCTTTTGGTCATTGTCATTCTACTATGAACATGGAGATATATATATTAATATATATATATATATTTATTTATCTCTTTGAGACCTTGCCTTTTTTTTTTTTAAAGATTTATTTTATTTATACAAGAACCGGGGTACAGGCCAGATGCGCAGGAGGGTGAGAGGATTCACCAGAAACAGAGTGGGGAACAGAACAGGCAGAATGACGAAATACACTGCTGAGGAGAGCAGCTGGCAAGACAGGAGAGGTGCCTTGCCATGTGGGTTGCTCAGAGGCCAGTGGGGATCAAACCAGCACTGCAGAGTCTGTGGACAGCTTCACAGCACTGCTCTCAATCACCTGCGCCACCTGGGAGGCCCCTGAGACCCTCCTTTCAATTCTTTTGGTTATATGCCCAGTAGTGAAATTGCTGGATCATATAGCAGCTATATTTTGAATTTTTTCAGCAACTGCCATAGTGACTACACATTTTATATTCCTACCAGCAGTGCACAAGAGTTCCAGTTCTCAGTGTCCTCTCTAATGCTTGTTACTCTCTGTTCTTTTGTAATATTATAGCCTTTCTGGTTAATATGAAATGGTAGCTTATTTTGGTTTTGATTTCTATTTCTCTAGTGATGTTGAGCATCTTTCAAGTGCTTACTGATGATCTGTATTCCTTTTTGGAATACAAATTCAAGCCCTTTGCCCGTTTTTGACTATGGATGCTGGGGCGGGGGCGGGGGGACTGTTTACTATTGAGTTTTGAGAGTTCTCTACATGTTCTAGAGTACCCTTCTCAGATGTATGGTTTTCAAATATTTTCTTCCAGTCTGTAGCTTGTCTTTCATCCTCTTAGCATGGTCTTTTGCAGAGCAAAAGCTTTTTTTATTTAATAATGAATTTCATTTTATCAATTTTTTTTCTTTTGTGCTTTTGATGTGATGTGTAAGAAATCTTTGTGTGGCTCTAGATCCTAAAGACTTTCTCCCATTTTTTTCCTAAGTTTTGTTTAACATTTGAGTCCATGATCAAATTTTGAGTCAATTTTGACTTAGTTTTTGTATAAATATAAAACAAATTAAGGTTCTTTTTTTTTTGCCTATAGATAACTAATTACTCCTATATCACTTGAAAGGGCTATCTTTCCACCATAGATTTACTTTTGTATCTTCATTGAAAATGCATTGGACGTGTTTGTATGAAAAACTTCTAATAAATATTTAATAATTAACCAAATTAAACTTGAAAGTACATATGACTATGGTGTTTTCTTATTCCTAATTAAAATTTTATATGTTTGCAGGCTAGCTTTTAGAACTCTAGTAAGAAAATACAATTGTGATCTATGTTATACACCAATGATAGTTGCTGCTGATTTTGTCAGATCTGTAAAAGCCAGAGACAGTGAGTTTACCACAAATCAAGGTATGTGAAATGAAAACCCTAATTTGCTAAGTTTCTAAAACTTCTAAAAAAACTTATCAGACACAATTCAAATTCACAGATTTTATTTTTAAATACTTGTTTTGCTTATGTTTTTAAATACTCAGTTCCTTGTAAACTATGGATGATAACATCAAAGTGTAGTGTAAGGTCAGCCTTCCTTATGGACCTTATCCTCTCAATAGGAGTATTAGATTATATCTCACTGCCTCCAGTCTTATCCCATTCCAAACTATCCTCCCAAGAGCCCACAATGACCTTTCCAAAATGTAAATTTGATTACATGTCTTTCCTGTTTAAGATCCTTTTTAGACCTTTCATTGCTTGAAGCAGTGGTTCTCTGTGATTTCCCCAGAATAGCAGGACCAGCAGAATCTGGAAACTTGCTTGAAATGAAAATCCCTAGTTTATCAAAGCCTACTGAATCAAATTCTAGCTGTGTGGTACAGCAGTTTATAATTTCAAAAGCTCTCCTGGTGATTCTGAGTTTACTCAAGATTGAGAAGCCACTGGTGTATAGATTAAAATTCCAGCACCTATAGTAATAGAAGTATTCCAGTATTCATGGTTTAGCTCTGTCTTCTATCACTTTGTCTTCACAGCCCACCAACTTTATTCATTCTTCAAAACTAAATTATTTTAATTCCTGAACATACCTGATCCCTCATTTCTACCTAGACTAACTTTCCAGCCTTGCCTTTCCCCTATATTTCTATCATTGGCAAGCAACAAACAGCTCATACTTCTTAATTCATTTCTCAATTTATGCCAAGCAACTTTCCCCTTGAGCCTCTGCTAATGTTCTCTTTTAAGCACAGGCATTTTGATGTACTTAAGCCTACCGTATTATAATTTCCTCTTTATGTGCCTGTCCTTCCCACTAGACTGTGGGCTCCTTGAAGGCTGGAGCTATTCTTTACTGATTCAGTCCTCAGTGTTTAGCACATTGTTGAAAATATAATTAGACCAATAAGTGGTTGTTAAATTGAAATTCTACAAGTCTCTTAAGAAACAAAGGGAAAGTACTCTATAGCCCCAAGAAAAAGCAAATCCTTCTGTCTCATGATAATCCTATAAATCTATGGATTACCATAGAAATTTTGAATCAGTGGAACTAGGTGATGCCCAGAAATCTGTATTTTGACAAATAACCATTGAACCTCATACAGGTAGTGCTCAAAAAAAATTTAAGAAAAAAATGAAGTATACCTATATAAAATTTATAACCCTAACCCAAGATGAAAAAAAAATGTCCTTCAAAAGCTACAAAAACTAATATATTTTACCATATTAAAATTTTTATCTAAGAAAAGAACACATATATATCAAAGACTAACCAAAAACTGGTGAAAATATTTACTATAATTTTATATGACAGCAAAACAAATGTCTTTATTTAAAAATTAATAATAAAAAAGGAACAACTAAAAGAAAAATTGCACATAGAAAGTTGTATGAAAAATACGGAGCAAGAGCCCACAAAAATATACACTATTGGTATACAATGTAGGATAAGTTATAAGGAAATGAACTTTCATGTATATTGATCTATCTATATCTATATTGGTAAGCTCCTTTGAAAGAAATGTTCATAATATCTATCAAGATGTAAGATACCTATCCAGTAGTTATAATATTAGGAATTTACCATATGAATATACTCATAAAAGTATCCTCATTACAGCATTGTTTGTGAGAGCCATAAATGAAAAATAACCTAGAAATGTGTTTTATAAGGAAGAAAATAGATCTGAGTACAGCTCCCAAATACATTAGGGGAAAAAACACAGTAGGCCTAGTAATATTTATAGAATGTGCATACTAGTCTAAATTTTACAGATATAAAATTGTTCTGGAATACAATAAATCAATTCTAACCTTTGGTAAAGGGGTCTGATTGTCAAAAAGTGCTTTACATCAACTTTTATATTGTTCGAATTTGTGCTAAATGTAAATTGCTTTTAAAATATTCAAAATTATTTTAATGCTGTTTTGTTAGAACAGATGCTTCCTCAACTAAAAGTAGTTACTGTTATTTTGTCCTATACAGACGTTAAAGTTTGGTATCCTGTGTGTGTGTTTCAGTTTTAATGTTGAGCTATTCGTTTTATCAGGTGATTGCCCATTGATTGTTCAGTTTGCTGCTAATGATGCAAGACTTTTATCTGATGCTGCTCGAATAGTCTGTCCTTATGCAAATGGAATAGACATTAACTGTGGTTGCCCTCAGAGGTAAAGCTCAAAGAAGTTGGAAGAATTTTCAAAAAGAGTAGGAAAAAGCTGTGTAAACATGGTAAAATATCTTTCTAGTTTTCTGAAAATTAAAAAGTAAGGAAAATAAAATTAAAACACCTGGGTTCTAAAAAGAAAGCAAGAAAAAACAAGGAAAGATTTAGGAACATGAATGCAAAGGTGGTTTCTGGTGGTTGAGTGTACTTGACAGTTGTTTTGTCTAACCTCATCACTAGAATTTTTTTTAATGTGTGAATCTGCCTGGAGCCTCAACTATAATGATTATGTGAGATGTTCATGTTTATAAAGCAATCCCTAAAATGTATCTTTACTGCTACTTCAGTCACACTTGCAATATGATTTGGAAGATTGATACTTGTTTTCTCCTAATTAATTTCCTTTATAAGAATACATTTTTATAACTACTTTTATTTCTATGCCATAGTTATTTGGTTGAGTCTAAATGATGTGTTGATGAAATGTAGTAAATTTTACAGTAATATCCTTACCTTTCTAGCACTGTACAAGATTATCTGTCAACTATTCAAAATATGTCCTAGAATTTTTAAGTACAGCAAGATTCAAATCAGATTAGACATATTTGTATACTCATTAGAATTAAATATGTAGTTGGTGCTAAAGGAATGCTGTAAGCTAAAAATATCTTTCTAGTATTAAGACTAGTAAAACCTCATATTATAATATATACAGTAAACATCAAATTTGAAATTAGAATGTCTGAAGTAATTGCAGATAATTACAAATACATAAATAAGTTTTGGTTGAAAGAATTTTAATTGAACAGCAACCTTTCCCCTATATTTTGGGAACATGTTTTCCTAAGCTCATACCAATAAACTTAGAAATATTGAATTGATGAATTATAAAAATCTGATTCCATTCCAGATCTCTAGAGACATAGATAGATATATTTGCTGTTCTTTTAGAATTATATCTTCTCTTTCAGCTATTTACAATTAATTTTTTGTTCTGCTTCTTTATAAAGGTGGGCAATGTCAGAAGGTTATGGAGCTTGTTTAATAAACAAGCCAGAGCTTGTTGAAGATATGGTGAAACAAGTAAGAAATCAAGTGGAAAACCCCAGGTTTTCAGTATCTATTAAGATAAGGTACAGACAATATTTGAATTCATTTTCTGGGAATATGGCGGTATCTGTCCTTAATAAATTAGTAGCTGGTATATGGAAATGTTGAGACAAGACATTTAGTATGTGAATAGATACCATAATTTTGATTTATGATCCAGAACAATCTCCTTCTTCTATTTTTCAACAAAAATGCAAACATTTAATATTCATTATTAAAAACTTCCCCCAAAAGAAACCTTTTTACTTTTTCTATCTAATGCTAAGAAATATTTATAATATTGTAAGTAGAGGATGGAAATGATACTGACACTGAAATTAATAATGAAAAGAGAATTAACCACAAACCTGTTTTGGTGATAGATTAGAAATGTATTTTACAATCAAGAACTATATTTTCCCACTTGTGGATTGGGGTGTGCACAGCAGCTACTAAGATAGCATCTTTTAATTCATCTATAATAGTACTTTGATCACTTTTTTTTTGAAGCCAAAAGGAAAGAGCACGAAATATAATAAAACTTATTTGTTGCCAGTAGTGAAATGGCTAAAGGACTTAAATAAGAACTAATCCCTAAACAAAACTTTACCGATAGTGACATTAACTCATATAACAAACCTAAATAAAGTATTAAATATTTTTTAGTTTATTACCTTTAGTGTTAAGAATTGTGTTGATATAACTTCAATGTTTATCTATAGATAATTTGATTTTATACATGGATATAATTTTGAAACTATAGGATCCACGATGACCTTACAAGAACTGTAGATCTTTGCCGAAAGGCTGAAGCAACAGGCGTTTCCTGGATCACAGTCCATGGAAGAACTGTTGAAGAAAGACATCAGCCAGTTCACTATGAGGCCATTAAAATAATTAAGGAAAATATGTCTATACCTGTAATTGCCAACGGGGACATCAGAAGCTTAAAAGAAGCAGAAAATGTGTGGCATGTTACTGGGACAGATGGTAAGAAACTTGAAATTTTTTACTTTAGCGAATGAGTGGGAAAATATTGATGTGATTTTTCATTATTTTTCTTTAAAATGAAGCCATATTGTACATTAAAATGAAGCCTGTTGTACTGATTCAAGCTAAGCAATTTGTTAAAATGGTATTAACTCTTCTACTTAGAAATGATAAATTATTTTATTGGGCTAAATTAATTCAGTTGTTTATCTGCTACCATCATATCTAGTGAGTAACCAGTTAAGAATCTTCCAAATAGCCAATGAGTAAAATAGAGCACCTAGAATAGAAATTAAAGTTATTGAACAGAGTGCTCATAAAAGGTAAAGGAACCAAGAATGCTATGCACTTTCATTATTCTTAAATTATTGGCATACCAAACCCTATGATAGATATTGGGCAATGAAAGAATGCAGGGAAACTTAATGTTAAACAAACCCAATTTATGACAATCTGGATTTACCCTTAAAAAAAAAACCCTAAAGACTAATTGATGTAGAGGTCTTCAAAAAATAAAACAGGGAAGAATTCCTAAACATACACTTAAAGCTTCTTGGTTTACAATAAGTATGAAAATAAAATAGTTTTATAATTCTATTAAAGTAATATAAGAGTATTAGGAAACCTTGAAATAATTTTTTAAATAATCTGTCCTAATTGGCTTTTACCTCATAACCATGACTTTTTGTTTATCTTTTTTTTTTCCCCCTGAAGTAACAACCTAGAGTTCTAATGTATAGACAAATGTGCTGTGCTTTACTTTGTAGGTGTGATGGTTGCAAGAGGACTCTTAGCAAACCCTGCCATGTTTGCTGGATTTGAGGAAACCCCACTGTCATGCATCTGGGACTGGGTTGACATTGCTCTTGAACTTGGAACTCCTTTTATGTGTTTTCATCAACATTTAATGTACATGATGGAAAAGATAACTTCAAGGCAAGATAAGAGAATATTTAATGCTTTGTCAAGCACATCAGCAGTCTTAGATTACCTTACAGAGCATTATGGAATTTGACTAGACTGTCTAAAATTATTTTAATAGTTTTTATACTTTAAATGAAAGCACCAGCTCACATTTTGGGTTTTACTTTTAATTATTGGCTCTCAAATTTTATTGTAAAAACAATGCTCTGGGAGCATTTTAAAAGTCAGCACTATACCCCATCTTCAGAGATTCTGATTCAGTAACTCTTTTAGGGTGGCCCCAAAATTTACAGTATTAAAGAAAACTCCAGGTAATTTAAACATCATAGCCATTCTAAGTCCAAACAAACATTGCTTTGAATGCTATTATGGATGTTTGTGTTTTTTCTGAAAGGAATCATGTTTTTAACATTTTTAAATAAAACTTTATTTTAATACTGAAAGTATGGTTCATATAGTACCAGTAAGTTAACATGAAGTTTGTTCTCTTGAAAATAACTCAAGTGGCAAAAGAAATGTCAACATATATAAAATGAAAAGGAACAAATTTTTTATAGGATTGCATTTACAGCTTAGATTAAAAATGCAAATTTGAAAAATCCAACTGTTACTTCCTAATTGAATTACACACTGAATTTAACTAGACATGTTTTTCATAAAGCTAAGATTCCATGTAACTCTTTGAACAACATTAAATTTACATTTCAAGACTTATAGACTACTTAAGAGATTGATAGTTTGGTAGATAGATCTGTACTTAAAATGATTAAAATTGGGCCTCCCCAGTGGCGCAGCAGGCTGAGCAGCCGTGCACAGCCTGGTAGCACAGGTTCAATTCCCAGCCGGCCAGGGATATACCCACATGGCACAACAGACCTCTCCTGTCTCACCTGCTGCTCCCATCAGCAGTGTATTTCAGCCAATCTGCCTGTTCTGTTCCCCACTCTATCTCTGGTGAATCCTCTTACCCACCGCACCTCTGGCCTGTGCCCCAGCTATTGTATACATAAAAAAAGAGAAATCTTTAAAATAAATAAATCTTTAAAAAAAATTTTTAATAAAATAAAATGATTAAAATTAATTTCAGTCCTGCACATCTCAAATATAAACATCTTGGTAGCTGATCTGGAAATAATTGTATATTAAAACACTATTTTTGAAGAATAGTATCTGGGGTTTAATTTAAACGCCCAATTTTATACCTTGTTTTTGAGTGATGGTATTTTTATGCCACCCTGTAATTGATAATAATTGCAATTTCAAAGTTCCCTAATGTCTGTTACTAATAGAATTTCGCAGGTGGTGAAGGTGCCACCTCTTTCAGTCGAGTATATTCACACAATTTGAAAACCTAAAAAAATAGTAATTAAAGAAAATATGCCTATGCTTGTATTACTTTCCTCTCCTACCCATACCCAAACATTACCCTAAAGTTTATTGCCCCTTCCCAGTCCAGGCTCAATAGCAACAAAAGAGTACGTTTTGACTTCACAGATCCACATTCTCACAACAAAATGTTACCAACCAACCACCCAATCCTGGCCCTACCATATAAGTACATGTTAATCGCAGACAATGAAATCTTAACTGCCGTGTAAGAGAAGCAACCGAAAAGAAGTGCATTTTAAGCACGATCGCTGAATTTGCACAATTCCTTATCTCTGCACCAGAAGAAATGCCGGTGAAACTCTTGAAAAATATTGGCTAGCCCCACGCAAACCACACTTCAGTAGAAATTTAAGGCTTGGCTCTTCTGGAAGAAGTAACACTTGGGAACCCCAAGCTTGGGGGTCCAAAAATCTGAGTCATCCTCTAACTCCACCACCAATTAGCAAACAATTATAGCTAATCATCGTCTTCGTCGCACCGCCAGCGATGCCAGCCGAGACGGGGGAAGGGAGCTGGCCAGGGTGGGGGTGGGGCGCGCACACACCACCACCCCCACTCCAGCGCCCGCGCGCCCCGCTTTTCTCCTCCCCCCGCCGCGGCGTCTGACGTCCCGCGCGTCGGCGGCCTCGAAGCAGCGCGGGGAGCCAGGCCGGCGGCAGGCGGGGTAAGGCCGAGCGAGGGCCGGGGGCCGCGGCCCTGGCGGCGGGACGGTGGGCCGGGTCGCCCCGCTCCCTGCGCGGAGGACCCTCGGGGAGATGGCGCAGCCCCGGCGCGTCGGTCTGGGGCCCGCGGCGCGTTCCCCGAGCGGGAGGGCCCCCGGCCGCGGGCGTTAGTGAGGGCGGCGTTAGGCTGCTGTGGCCGCGGGAGCGGGACGTGAGGCGGCGCCTCGGGCCGCCCCGCGCTTTGGCAAGGCCCGCCCGGAAGGTGGGGACGGCGGCCTCCGGCCCAGCCCTGCCCCTCCTCTTGCTTCCGGCCCCGGCCTCGTCCCGGGCGCCACGTGAGGGCCGGGGGGCGCAGTGAACCCCTAGACCAAAATATTGCGCCCGGGGGGTCTTTAACCCAGTTTCCTTTGAAAAGCAGCAAAGTAAAATAAGTGTTTCCCTGTTTAGGTGTGAAGAGGAAAAAAAATGACACTCCAGTGGTCGGCAGTTGCAACCTTTCTTTATGCTGAAATAGGACTTATCTTAATCTTCTGTCTACCTTTTATTCCTCCTCGGAGGTAGGAAATCTCCAGATCGTTACAATATTGACTAGAGGATTAACTCCTTTCTACTTTTTAGTGCGATGTGGGAAAAAAACGTTTTCTTAAGATTAAAAGTTATGAGTGTCGATTATGTGAAAGGCGCCCTTTAAAAATAAAGTAATGATGACAAGATTCTCATGTTATCATGCATAAATCTTTTTTTTATATGTGAAAGTGAATTAACTGACCCCCCTCCCTCCTTCTAAAAGGAAAAGGGCTAGTTCTATTGGTTTGGTTCTGTTTGATTTTTGGTTCTACTTGGTTCTGTTGATTACAGCTGCCTGTAATAAAGCAATGGTTATACTTTTCTTACCTGTCATGTCATCAGGTTTTACCTTTGTTTTAGTGTCCTGAATTAGAGCAGTGAAAGAAGGAAATAAATTAGTTTTACAACTTAGCACTGGACAGAAATGTTTGGGTCATTGGAATGAAAATTTAGAAACGTAAGCCCGTAAATGTTTTTTACTTTGGGATGACAAATACTTTCATTAATGTTCTGTGGCAAATTTACTACATTTTCCCACACACAGGAAATTAATATGTATTAAAATTGCTGAGCATGAAAAAGTATCAGAACTGTACATTAGCGTTAGTTCTTTAGTGACCATCCTAAGTACTACGTATCTGAATCAAAGTATTGGCTCACTTGACCTCTGTGATCACTTACCTGTTTTAGATACAGAAAATTGATAGTATGAATGGTGAAATACACTTACAATAAACATGTTGTAAGACATCTGTTCTTACCTTTGGCATAAAAGAAATCTTTCAAAAATAAAATCCTAGAGCTAACTCGTTCAAGTTTAGTAAGATGCCAGTTCTAGAAGAACCTTAGAAACTTTATACATTGCCTCAGAGTGGGTGTAGGCCTTCACAACTCTCAGTTTGCTTTTTACCTACCTGGATTTCTTCTCACACTTCTGTCCTTGTGTATCCGGCTATGCCTTCACTTTTATCTTCCTTATACTAAAGAAAATAATTTAACCATATTGTAGGAAAGTACCTTGGAGATAATTTTTCTAACCCACTCTTTCTATATAGATCACATGCTGAGACCCAAAAAGGGGATGTGACCTTCTGTGGTCATCTGGCTGGTCCATCGCTGATTCCAGACTAGAACCTCAGCCTAGTGCATTTTGTGATGGGATCACCTTGAGAGGAGAGACAACCTGTTAATTTTGTTTCAAATCCTCAGTTACACCCTATGTTGGTTTTTGGTAATACTTGGAATGATAGAACACTGTAGTCAAGGGGGGAAAATGTTAGTTCTAAACATCTGATTCATAAATAATGCTTAGTAGTATAGAAAAGGAGTATTTTGGGCAGTTTAATTTAAATAATTTCCATAATTTAATTTAATTTTGATCCTTAAATTATGGATCGTTTTCTTCCTGCCAAATATTTTTTCCTATCCCAGTCAGATGTGTGTTCATGTACACGTATTGTATAAATATACATGAGAAAATATGGTATAGATTCACACAAATTATAACATGTCCCCACTTTGTATAGCCATCTCTTTTAACCTTTTATATGTATAATCTTCAAAGAAAAAGTTTCAGTCTTCATTTAAATTGGCTGTCTGTTATTTCATGACCCACTGGTTAAAGACATATGCTCAGAAGTCAGACTGCCTGGGTTTATGTTCCCAACTGTGCGTGTTACTATGTGAAATTGGGCAACTTATTTACCATCTCTGACCAGTTTCCCCATCTATAAAATGGAGGTAATTCTGATATCCATCTCATGTAGTGGCTATTGTAACTGAATGAGTTAAAAAATGTAAAGGTACTTAGAACTACAGTAGAGTGAGAACTCAATGTATATCAGCTATCATTACCTCCTCTTTGCAATAAGTCTTATACCTGCCAGTTATTCCCTGTGAGAGTCTTTTTTGCTCCCTTTTATACTGCCCTTTGAAGACAAGGGACCTTACATTTGTACCTAGATCAAGGTATTGACATATTTGTTCTTTTTCTAAAAAGAAAAAAAAATTAATATTATGTAATTTTTGAGTAGCATCCTTGGAATTGGAAGCATAAAAGCACACACCAAAAAAAACCTGCTTCATCTATATTATATCGATTTCCTTCTCCTCACCAATTTCAAGTTAATACTTAAAGCTACTTTTAAAACATTAATTAGTAATTTGTCATAATCTTAAAATACACCTTTTTTAAAGTTGTTAGTGCTTAAAGTATATTTAAGTGTTTATTACCTTTACATGTCTCCTTTCAATTCAGTAATGAGTTATGCATTTAAAAGGCCCTTGTATAAAGTTTGTTATCTTTCATTTGTATGATGGATTACTTTATCATCCTTTGCCATTTACAATGCATTTTTTTTAACCTGTGTCTTTGCTTGTACACTTCAGTCCATCTAGACTATTTTCCCATTTCATATCCCCCATGTTTAAATCTTGATGTGGGTGGTAATTATGTGGATACATATGTTTGTAAAAATTTGTCAAGATATGTATATATAAGATTCTTCCATTTTACTGTATATATGTACTATCTCAGTGATTTTTCTAATTCCCGCTTGTGAAAATAGAGAAACTCCTTTACTTGGACTAGATGTTAAAAGTTACTGTATAAAATGAGTCTAGAGGGTTGCACTTCATACTCCTGAAATGTTATTAATTGGACCAGTAAGTATTTGTTATTTTGTATTATCAATGTTACTCACTGTATGCAAGAGGTATAAAGTGATATCTTCTTTTAACAACATGACATTTTAGCTTAAGAATTCGTTTTTATGGTTTTGATCATATATATTTACTTTGAAAGTTATTTTCACTTTAGAGTATTTAAGCCACTGGACAGAAGATAATCAAATGTCAAGTTATTAAATTTAAAAACATTATTCCTTATATTTTGAGACATTCTTATGTCATTTAGTTCTGATATGACATAAAATCCAAATTTCTGTAATTCTTTTCACTTACTACACTTACCAAAATCTATTTATAAAGTATTTAAAAATTTTAACTTTGCACATTTTTAACATTTTTAACTCTTTTAACTGTACGTTTAATGTAATTGCATTGCTTTACAGATGGCAGAGGATCTTTTCATTTAACATCTGGGGTAAAATTGCAAGTTTCTGGAATAAGGCTTTCCTTACTATTATAGTCCTATTGATTGTTCTGTTTCTGGGTAAGTATGAGATTTCTTCTGTGAATAAATATAACTCTGGGGTTTTCTTAATTAATAAATTTGTTGGATTTTAATTAATTAGGGGTGATGTTGCTGTTGATATACACTTGACTTTATATGGTATACTGATAACGTAAATGTAGATACTGAAATACTGGCATGAATTTTGTGGATACTACTACTGTGTATGCACAAGCACACATTTTTCATATGAGTGCAGTTATTCTTTATCTTTCAGTGCAGCACTACATAGCCCTTTTTTCATTTACCATATATACAGCCCTTTATAACTGTGTCCTAAACACTCATGGGCTTAGCTGTTAGGGAGGCAAGCAGAAGGATAGAATCATTAGACCCTCAAAAGGAGTCTTAGATGCAGGGTATGAATTTTGATTGGATTCTGGTTTAAAAAACAACTGCAACACAGACATTTGGAACTACTGCAAAAATCTGAATGTAGACTGATAATATTAGATATTATCTGATATAGATCAGAAAATATTAGGGAATTTTTGTTAACTTTAGGTATAAAGATAGCATTATTATAGAGCAAAGGCCAGCAACCTATAGTTTAGGCCAATTGCTTATTTTGTAAATAAACTTTCTGGGCAGCATAACAATGCTTATTGGTGTGTTGTCTGTACCTGTTTCTGTGGACAACTCCAGAGTGGAATAGTCACAACAGAGATCTTGTGCCTGAAACATTTACTGTCGATCCTTTACAGAAAATTTTCCAACATCTGTTAGATAGTAATATGTCCTTTTTATTAGGAGATGCATGCTGAAATATTTTGCAGTAAAATGTCATAGTTTCAACTTATTTAAACAAAAGACAAAGCAAATATAAAATGTTCAATGTTTTATACAAGTGGTAGAAATATAGGTGCTTATTATAGTTTTTCAGCATGTTTGAAATTTTCATGATAGCAAGTATCTTAGAAATTTGAAGAATTTGTGCACCTCCCTGGTGGCGTAATGGGTTGAGCACCATACTGTGAAGCAGTCCATAAAGTCCATTCTTCAAAAGTTAGGTCAATTATTTGAAAACTGCTTCCCCTGTTCGTAATAACTTTTTTTTTTTTAAAGATTTATTTTTATTTATTTATTTATACAAGCCTGGGTACAGTCAGAAGCACGGGAGGGTGAGAGAATTCACCAGAGCCAGAGCGGGGAACAGTACAGGCAGACTGACGAAATACACTGCTGAGGGGAGCAGCGGGCGTGGCAGGAGAGGTCTGTCACGCCATGTGGGACCCTTGCCGGTGGCCGGGGATTGAACCGGCATTGCAGAGGCTGCGGGCAGCTTCACAGCCGAGCGCTCAACCGCTGCGCCACCAGGGGAGGCCCTGTTCGTAATAACTTTATACCTTTAGAAGTCAAAAGTAATATCGTTTTTGTCCTCTAATAGATGATGTAAGAGAAGTTAAGAAAATATTCCTCTACTCCTGCCATTGAAAAGACCTTTGTTACTATAAGTTGGTTGAATGGTCAAGGCAATGGTTGGGATAGAAAGAGTATAGTAAAAAAAAAAAAAAAGCAGAGTACTTCCCCAGTGGCGCAGCGGGTTGAGCACAGCGCTGTGAAGCTGTCCGCAGCCTCTGCAGCCAGGGTTCAATTTCCTGGCCAGCCAGGGAGATCCCCACACGGTGCGGCAGACCTCTCCTGTCTCGCCAGCTGCTCCCCTCAGCAGTGTGTTTCAGTCCGTCTGCCTATTCTGCTCCCCGCACTGTCTCTGGTGAATCCTCTCACCCTCCCACACCTCTGGTCTGTACCCCAGCTCTTGTATAAATAAATTTTTTTTTAAAAAAAGCAGAAATGCTGTTACATTCAAAGTTTACCACTAGTATCCATTTATAAAGCATCTGTTTTGAGAATGGTACCTTCACAGGTATTGTAGAGGATAAGACAAAAAGAGGACCCCTCCCTAAAGTCCATACTTCAAAAGTTAGGTCAATTGTTTGAAAACTGCTTCCCTTGTTCATAATACTTTATACCTTTAGAAGTCAAAAGTAATATCATTTTTGTCCTCTAATAGATGCTGTAAGAGAAGTAAGAAAATATTCCTCTACTCCTGCCATTGAAAAGAGTTCAACCAGCAGCCCTAGTGCCTATGAACATACACAGATGAAACTTTTTAGGTCTCAAAGAAATCTTTACATTTCTGGATTTTCATTATTTTTTTGGCTGTAAGTAGGAAAAAAGTATAATTTTTAAGCATGATTTATGTTTTTCCTTCTCCTTTTTCCTACCTGTACTATAGATTTCTTTCTAAATTTTATACTTAACGTTTTCCTAAAAGAATTCAGATGGTCTACCCAAATAACAAAAAATAATTATGACTTGTAGATTTGGTGGCCCTGTAGGACCCTATACCATCTGACCCCTTCAGCTCTCTGTACTGTTCTCTAAGATACACACCACCTTCTACCCACATTGAATTTTACTGTTCATTGTTGCCACACATCTTTCTTTATTTCCTGTTATGTACCTAGCTCCTTCCTACTTCAGTGTCTTCACACATGCTTTCCCTCTGCCAGAACACTTCCCTTCCCTCTTTCCCAGGCTAACTTCTTAGCATCCTTCACCCCTTTTCTCAGGGAAACCTCTATGACCATCTTTCCTCCCAGAGTAGAGAGGTCTCCTGCTATGTACTTGCATAGAATGCTTGTATATTTTTCCTCCAGGTATTTTTCATATTTGTAACAAAATACTGCTTTTTAAAAATTCTTTTTTTCCTCAACTAAAACTAAATTCCTTGAGAAAGGCACATTTGTCTCATTTCCTGCTATGTCCCCAGTGTTAAGCACAGTGTTTAACACTTAGCAGTTCCTGAGAAAATATGTATTGAATGAATAATTCAAGACATTAATTACTGCTTCTAACAATGAAAGATGTGAATGGGCAGTTTTGAGGGCTTCACCAGTCACACAGTGCTCTTTAAATAGCAAATGTTGAGCTGAACCCAAAAAAAATTTTTTTTTAAACTTCTATTACTGGCCCTGCCACACATTCTGTTTCTGCTTCTCCTGGCTAAAGGCCTCTACAAAGAAAATAGATAAATTAAAAAGTACCATTGAGTCTTTATTCCAAATGTAAATCTTTTAACAAAGATTCCAAAGGGATGAGACAGGCTCAAGCTTGTTTTGTCTAACAGACTTGGATTTAAGCAAAAAGCATGTGTCCTCCTTAAACATCTCTTCCTTCACCACACCCAAAGCTAAGGGGAGTAATTTGACAGTTACTGTTTGTTATAAAGTCATGGTTCCTGGTGATTAGTCTCATTATATTTTTTCTTAGAGTGTTGAGACGTCTGGTCACCCTTATTACTCAGTTGGCAAAAGAACTGTCAAACAAAGGAGTACTTAAAACTCAAGCAGAAAATACCAACGAGGCTGCCAAAAAATTCATGGAAGAGAATGAAAGACTTAAACTGGTATTTAAATATTCTTTTTAAAAATTTGTGTAAATGTTGGTATTGCCAAGGGATGTATATTATTTTTTGTATCAGTAACAGCATTTTCATAATTTATAAGCAGAAAATTATCATCAGTAGCAAGGCATTCTACAAAACGATTGTTTCAGAAGTACTTTATCTTTCTTTAGGTGTATTTATTGTCATAGTTTCTCATCGTAGTAGATTAATACCATTGGGCCTGTTGATTCCAAGAGAAAAGGATATTCTAGAAATGTGATTTTTAGTTTCTTCATTAACAGGTGTTTATAGGGCTCTGATTCCATTTCCTTTTCAGTTAAATTACATTTTAAAGCCTGGTGTTGGTATTAGATTGATGATTGCATGTAATATTTAAATCTCTGATTTGGTGGTTTTGCTGATAGTACTTCTTTAAAGAATGATATCTGTCCTTTCCTGCCATTCAGGGAGAGCATTAATCAGGTACTGATGTTTTCCCCATTAAATAAAAAGAAGAACAAATGAAAAATGAAAGATAGAGTTATTTTCCTTATTTTCTTAACTTTGAAATATAGGAGACAGATCTTTTTGCCTTGAATCTTTTCAATTCATATTAAACCTCATAAATTTTACTAATTCTACTTAGAAAAAAGGTAATTAGTGGAAACATTCAGAAATGAAACAAAATTTTTTGAAGAAAACATCCCAAAAATAATGCAACAAGTTCACTTCACTATTAGAAATTAAAGAAATGCTGTAGTGGTAAATTACATCTTATACTGGGGCATTCCTGGTGGCGCAGGGGTTTAAGTCTCACTGCTGTCAGGCTATCGCCTGCCACTGTGGCATGAGTTCATCACCCCTATCACCACCACCAGGGAGCTAACCCACATATGGCACAGCAGACCTCTCCTGTGAATACCTTTGCTTCCCTCAACAGTGTATTTCAGTAGATCTGCCTGCTTTGCTCCCCACTCTGTCTCTGGTGAATCCTCTTACCCTCCATACCTCTGGCTTGTACCCCAGCTCTTTTGTGCATAAATAAATAAAAATAAATCTTTAAAAAACATAAATTATACAAGTTATGGTTATGCAAAAGTTATTGTGCAAAGGTAGAAAATTAAAATATCCAACTTCTGAAGTCCAGCCTTTTATAAGAAGAATTGTAAATACCTCCTTTCATCAATTCTAAATGAGTTAACCAGTTATATAGAACATTATAAACCTTTCTAAAACCTTAAAGAAAGTAAAACATTGCCAAAATGTATTTGTTGCTACAGTGTTATGATCACCTATTCAAAATTCATGTTTTACTTATGATGTTTGCCTATTTCTGCTATCACAGAAAGGTAATGACCTGTTGTCACAGAAACAGTTCCAAAATATATCCTAAATAGATTGTAACCACCATTTTTTAAGGAAACTTGGTGAATAAACATACGTTTATTTTTTTCCTTTGCTTTGTTCTGTTTTGAAAAGGCTTTGATTCATAGACGTCTTATATATTTCCCTTTGTAATAAATATAGGTCTTGGAAATCAAGTGGCTGGTATTACTGTATCCAAAAGCAAGCAAGCATTTTACCTTTTTTTTGTAATGTTTCAGCAGCACAACCAGCATCATTTTGTACCTTAATATTGCTTTGTTTTCCATCCTTTGATTTCATTTCACAGTGGGAAAAACAAATATAAAACCCTCAGACCTTTGATTAATACATAATGGCTAAACTCAAAGCACACAGCCTTTGTATTTGTAGACTTATTGTGTACCTATCTTGATTTAAAATTATGTCCATTATGTTAGAGTAATGAGGTGTAACTCCTAATAGAACACTACTTCTTCCCTTATATTCTTTAGTTGTTTTCCTCTTGCACTTCAGTGCTAAGAAAATAGAAAATGTTTTTATAACGTTTTGATACTGTTGTTCTTCCCATATGTACTATAACTAATACTTAAATTTGTCTTATCCTTGAGCATCTTTCTCAAAACATTTTTGGAACTTTTCTTTTGAAATTGCTTCAGAACCAGTTGCTCTTTCAAGGAAATTTATTTCAAGACTAATGATTATTTGATCTCCCACAATTTCTCCCTTTTTCCTCCTCTTTGGCTCCAGGTAGTCCTAGTTCCTTGCTTCCTGCATATCTGTGACCCTATCACAGATCATGAGAGGTACACAGATATGCTGGCCTAAATCTAGGACACAGGAGAAAGTCTGTGAACTGGAACAAATACTGTCAGTACCCAAAGTATACATACTCCATCAATAAAGACCATAGGTAGGAATGTCGAGGATGACTTCTGTTTCAAGATACTTCATGTAGACTCTGAAATAGTAACCAAAGAAGGATAGAATTTGTAAAACACCTTTTCATTCTCTACCAGAGACACAATATCTTTTGGAAATTTCAATGCCCTGAGAGTCAAGAGATTTAGATGCTAGTCCCAGAAGTATTAGTACAATAGTGATCCCAGGCAAGTCATTGCATAGGTTCTGGAATTTAAGGCTGTAAGTAATAACTAAAATGTACAATGTGTTGCTGCAAATATTTTACAATAAAGAATTAACTCTTAATTCTCACAACTTAATGATGTTGGTTTTGTTATTATTATGCATTTTATAGATAGGAAATGGAAACACAGAAAGATTAAGTGACTTACACAAAATCATCTGGCTAATAAATGACAAAACTAAGATATCAGTCTAACCTGCCGGACTTTATAATCCACACTCTTAACCACATGTTTTGTGCCCATCAATCATAATCTAGCCTTTAAAATGACTTGTAGATGGTGCTGAAGGCCCCTATCTATTCTGATACTCAATTAATGAGATGAAATAATTATGAAAGAACAGTCAACTCTTTACTTATCTACTTGAAATAGCAATAATACAGGGTTTTTCTTCTCACTGATCTTTTTTGTAGCCACTTACCAAGGTGGGATAAGAGTGGCACAGCAAAAACATGCACTACTGTAGCTGGCTGCTATTGAATCTCAGATTCCAAGGCTCTTGGTCTTTTCTTGCAGCATCAAGTTACACATAATAAATATGGACAAGTTTACAGGTGTAGTAATAAAAGTTTGTTCACAAGACCAACCCAAATCCAACTTTTCCAAGTCAGTGGTGTAATAATTCAAGAAGTCAGTATGAACATTCCTGCAACTCAGTGGTTCTCTTCTAATTTAATCACTGGAGATTATATGAACTGAATTCAGTGAAATAGCAGCTAGGATTGTTTTTGAACTTGAAGTGGGTAACAATATAGAAAAGTTAAGGTAAAAACACACACCACACATTTTTAAAGTCAGATTAGATTTAAAAATATCAAAAGTATTGTAAAGAATTAACTGAGTAAACATAAGTTGGAAACTATTCAATGAAAATAAAATAGAATTTTCCAAGTACAGTGCTATCCCCTGTCATTTTCCACTTACTGATCTCCACCTTGACATTATATTTTCTTACACATTTGTCTATGTAAAAATAGTCTGAATTCTTTTTGCCTTTGGCTAAGAGCAAGTGTAGTATTTGTTCTTTTTAGTTTAAAAGAATCTGAGTAGACTGCTCTGCAACTGGAACATAATGGTTTTCCTTCTTTTTTTTTTTTAAGATTTATTTATGTATCCAAGAGCTGGTATAGTCCAGAGGTTTGAGGGGTGAGAGGGTTCACCAGAGACAGAGTGGGGAACAGAACAGGCAGACTGACTGAAATACACTGCTGAGGGGAGCAGCAGGCGAGACAGAAGTCTGCTGTGCCATGTGGGTAGCTCTTTGGCTGGCCGGGGTTCGAACTTGTGTTGCAGAGGCTGTGGAAGCTTCATAATGCTGTGCTTGACCCCTTGCGCCACCAGGGAGGCCCCATAATAGTTTTCTAATTAATATCATCCTTAGAAGTGTTTTTTTCCCTTAGATTTATATTACACACTTCATTGAATAAAAAAAAATTCACATTATTTACCTAAATATTTTTGAAAATATAATTTTTTTTTTTTTTAATAGAGGCATGTTTTATTTATTTATTTGTTTGTTTGTTTTGTTTATACATGCACTGGGTACAGTCAGAAGTGTGGGAGGGTGAGAGAATTCACCAGAGCAAGGGTGGGGAGCAGAGCAGGCAGAAGGACCGAAGTACACTGCTGAGGGCGGCAGGAGAGGTCTGCGCGCCATGTGGGACCCTCCTCCGGTAGCCGGGGAGCAGCCAGGGATCGAACCGGCGCTGCAGAGGCCGCGGGCAGCTTCGCAACCCAGCGCTCAACCACTGCGCCACCGGGGAGGCCCTGAAAATATAATTTTAATTATACCGTAACTAGAAACTTTTATTTTCACTTTATGCATTTTAAACATAAGGAGAAATGTTTTTGCGTATTTGTCAAATAGCAAGTTTCTGTTAGCAAAAGTGCATTGTATAAAATTATAAAATACTGAAAAAACAAAGAATAAAATGAAGACCAATGATTTTAAATGCATTATTCAGACCCTTTACTTGAAGAATGTGTAGCTATAGCAATCTTAAGTTCACATATTTTTTTTTCTTCTTTTTTGTGACAGATCTTAAAAGGAAAGAGCAAAGAAGAAAACATTTTGGAAATAGAAAATAAAAAACTAGTAGAAGACCAGGAAAAACTGAAAACTGAATTAAAGAAGACTTCAGATGGTAACTTTGTGTACATGTACAAATGCAGAAAGTATAACATGGTATTTTATGCTGTTGCACTTCACTGTTTTCCCTAAAACAAAACTAATGGCTAAATGTTCTTCTAGCCAAAATACCAAGAGTGACCTATTTATAAATTTCTGCTCAAATATGAAGATTGAAACATTGTTTCAGCCAAGAAAAACAAGCTCTGTTACACAAAAAAACATGTAGGTGTTTCAGATCTGTGTTGTAAATACAGATGTTCCTGCCTTAGCAAAAGAGCTGTTTTCCTGAAAAGTTGCTTATAAAAAAAAAACAAAAACAAAAAACCCCACATACTTGGAAAATGATTCACATTTTTCCATCATAGTTTATTGCTTCTGTCAAAGAAACAAATTGCACTGGGAGTTGCGGGGGGCAGTTTTAGTTACAAGAAAAGGTAACTAAGGGGCCTCCCCATGGCTTAGCGGTTGAGCGCTGGATTGCGAAGCTGCCCACAGCCTCTGCAGCGCCGGTTCGATCCCCGGCCACCACAGGAGGGTCCCACATGGCGCGCAGACCTCTCCTGCTATCTGCTGCTCCCCTCAGCAATGTACTTTGGTCCTTCTGCCTGCTCTGCTCCCCGCTCTGGCTCTGGTGAATTCTCTCACCCTCCCACACTTCTGACTGTACCCAGTGCTTATATAAATAAATAAATAAATAAATCTTTAAAAAAAAAAAAAAAAGAAAGAAAAGAAAAGTTAACTAAAACCTTATCTCAAGTCCTAATATTTCCTACTGGATATAAAGAAAGAGTGCCTTGAAAAAAATGGATGGTCAGAGAGTAAGCTACAATCCGAAAATCTGGATATCTCATTCCAACGTGATGTCTCACTCCAATGAGAACACGGAGCAGACCATCCTAAATCCATTTCCTTGAAAGGAAGCCATTTGTACATTTTTTATCTTAAAAGTCACTCTGATAGTATTTTTGTTCTCTTAGTCAAAGAACAAATGATTGTTTTCTTAGCATAGAAAAGTAGATACTCCAAGACAGATGTCAAGGCAGGAAATTCTTGAGTACAGTTTGTGGCTTGAACCCTGGGCAGCGTTCCTGCATATAATAGATACTCCTTGGTGCTGGCCAGACACAGGACACCTCTCAGCTAGTCAGGGTTAAGGTAGTGATCGAGGAATAGAACTTCTCCATTTTCAACTTTCTTTCACTACCTTATGTTAGTAGTAAATTAGTGACTATTCAGTGACTGAATCAAGGGCCTACTTTATGCCATTTGTTAAATTTAGACTTTTTAGTAGTTCTCTATATAATAGGGATTACACCAGAGGGGGTGTGGGGGGAAGCAAACATTGTTTAAAAATGAACAATGATGTAAAATATATAAAAATATATATATTTGAATATGAGATGGAAAGCCTGAAAAGAAAAGCTAATTCTGTAAAAAAGAAAAACAAAAATCTATAGAATATTTCATGTGATATAAAATTCTTTAATTTTTATGTAAAAAAGTTGCTTACAGACAGTAAATTAAAAAAGAAGTTACTCTTCTAAACAAGGTGGTATATTATATGGTTGGTAGAGCATACCCCCAAATTCAAAACCTTGTCATAGTTGCCTCTTCTGTAATTCCAGAAGATTTGAAACATGATCAAGACATTTTAACATACTTATAAAAATAAATATGTTAATTACCTACTGTATTCTATATTAGACATTTCGGAAAAAAGCCATGTTCTATTTTTACCCAACATAAAATATACTGCTAATCCTTTTGAAGAATGTAAGGGACTATTTCCAAAATACTTATAATGAGTTAAACATTTTGTTTCAAAATTTTGTTGTTTTTTCCATATCTGCCAATGATCCCTTTTCTAATGTAGTAAACAGTAGGGTACAAAAATAAGAGCCAGACAATAGGTTGTATGACATGCTACCCTTCTCTTAACTCTGGCCAATATAGTTTCTTTTCTTTGCAAAATTCCCACCTCTGGGATATTTGACCTTTGATTTCATAAATCTAACATATGTAATTCTAAATCCAATTTTTATATTAATACAAAGGAGTACAATGTTTTTAACAGATAATTCAGATGTTTGAAGATTAACTCTGTGATAATATAGACATTGTGTATTTATACTTTGATAACAAGAGATACCAGCTTCTGTGTTTGAAGTGTAGACTGCAAAGGTGCTTTCAAAGTGAATCAGTGTTGAGGTAAAAACAGATTTTACCTGTTTGGCTATGTCCTGTTTGGTTCCTGCAAGGTGTGTAATATGAACACATTTCTTTTTACTCAGAGTTGTTATTTTAGATAACATTATTAATGACCTTGAGAAGCTCAGAATTCCATTTCTAAAGGTGTATGTCCTCGGCTATGTTCTCTTTACCCCTACCACTCAAATTCATTAAGGCTAGAACTAAGAAATTACATAAATTAGTAGGATAAGTTTCAGATGAATTTAGTGCAATGCCTTGTACATAATACAATTCAAGATATTCACTGATTTCTAAAAATTGAGGGTACTAAAGCTGAAAGTAGGGCTTAAGAAGGGCTTCAGAAAGTTCATTTTTATTTGAAAGTAGAATAGAAAAGCAATGTAGAAGATGGCCGATTTTCCATATGAATTTTCTTATCTTTGATGTTTCTTTGAGTGAAACATTTACTCTAAAGTTTATTAGTAGAAATTCTAGGCTGACCTATGCTTTGGTAGAGTGTGAGGCATGTTCACACATGGAGATGTGAAGTTGTATGCCTCAAATTCTACAGTTACGTAAACTAATGGCAAATCAGTTTTTAAAAAGTGTGTTATTAGTGGAAATAAAACACTGATAGAAATGTTTCTTTAAGCGAGTTAGCTCCACTTTAAGTGGAAAAATGGCATCGGAATGGGAAAAGTGGCATACAAAGGCAGGTAGTATGCTCAGAAGTATGTATCAGAAGTACCAAGCTCTATGACTACCAGCTCATATTTTTACCAGAGTTTATAAATTACCTGTGCTTCAATGCAGTGATATGACCCTACTGATCCAAAAGAGAGCATGCATTTCCCAAAGCACCTAATTTATGCCCAGGACTACTCAGGTGTAAGGACCTGTGCTGTCATTTTTAATGATCTGTTTAACAATAATTCTGATATAGCAGTGTGTGGAGTAATTGGGAAAGGGCACTGCCATGAAAAATGAGAACTTAAGCTTTGAAGAATTTACAAAGCTCACAAGCTCTTATAATAAAAATAGACCTTGCATGTAGCGAAAAATCTTCTGATGTCCAAGGAGACTGACTTCAAAGGACACTTCTAGGATCGTTTATTCTTATAAATAAATACCATCTCTGTATTTATTCTTACAACTGGAGAAAGTATGTATCATCCAGTTGTGCATTTATCCATTAGGTGGTAAAAGTAGATATACTTTAAAAGCAATTAAAATGTATGTGTGTGGAAATATCTCCTCTTCGTTTCTTTAGGAGCAAAAATATATCCAAAATGTGCTGCATTTAAAAAGGAGTTCTCAGGGGTATCAACCTTATAATAGAGGTTGAGTAACAGTATATTTCTTCTACATAAAAGGTAAAGAGAAGGAAAAAAATGACAAAAAGTGATTGAAGCATATTTCTTGACCCTACTTTACCCATCTTCCCTCCTTCCTTTCCTCTTTCTCTCTTCTGTCAGCAATTTTTAAAAACTTTTCAAATAATTTATTCACTGCAAGATCATTAATGTGGCACATAATTAAAACTGCCCTTGAAACACATACTATTGGGAATAAAGTAAATTTTAAACATTACCTAAACAAAGTGTATATGAATAGAACAAAAACTGAGTGTAAAGGCCTATTGTGTATACCTATGAGTTGGACTAGGAAACAGAAACTTCTAGTCCTACTTAACCTTCTAGTTGATAATTGAACTCTCTTCCTGGATAAATGCTTCTCTATGAGTGGCCTGCTTTGAAAAGAACTATTATTCCTTGATTATTGTGGCATTAACATATAACTTATAGTATAATAATAACCAGACAGGTTAGTACTAGTACTAGAAAAAGGAGGCTTGCTTGTATTATGGCTACTTTTCTGGTGCTAGTACTAACTTGTCTTGTTCACTTCTATATTTCCATTTAATTGTGGTATTCTCCTTTCTTTTAAAGATTTATTTATTTATGCATATAAGAGCTGGGGTACAGGCCAGAGATGCAGGGGGTAAGAGAATTCACCAGAGACAGTGGGGAACAGAACAGGCAGATTGACCAAAGTACACTGCTGAGGGGAGCAGTGGGCGAGTCAGAAAAGGTCTGCTGTGCCATGTGGGTTGCTCACTGGCTGGCAGGGGATGGAACTTGTGCTGCAGAGGCTGCAGATTGCTTCATAGTGCGTTGCTTAACCCCTTGTGCCACCAGGGAGGTCCCTATATTTTCCTTTCCTGAGCTTATCTGTTTAGAGTCTATACATATAAAATAAATGTCATCCAGTGACCAGGAAGAATAGGGAAAACAGTAATTTAAGACAAAAATTCAAGTATTCCTTATGTATCACTAACAATACCAATAGGCATAACTGATGCTACCTTGAAGAAAAGCTTTTATAATCTCAATAGAAGGATATTAATATAAGAGAAATCCATCTTTTCCCTGAAGAGTTTATAGTCCAGATAAGTGGATCCAAAGTAATATATATGAAATGACAGGAATTCATTTTTTCCACTGTATGATACATGAGTCCGTTTACCAAAAAAATAAATAAATAAAACATAGAATACAGCATATTCAGTGTATACTGAATAAAGGAATGAATGTTCCGAATGATAAGATGGCATCAAGTCAGTTGTCTAAACATGTTGATGGACATATAGACTGGCAGAAAAATGAGTACAATAGCATTACTGTTGTGGGCTTCCCTGGTGGCACAAGGAGTTAAGCACAGCACTGTGAAGCTATCCCCAACCTGCCAAGGAACTACCCACATGGCGCAGCAGACCTCTCCTGTCTTGGCTACTGCTCCCCTCAGTAGTGTATTTCAGTAGCTCCATGTGTTCTGCTCCCCACTCTGTCTCTGGTGAATTCTCTCACCCCCTGCACCTCTGGCCTGTACCCCAGTTCTCGAATGTATTAATAAATCTTTAAAAAAAATAGCATTACTGCTATGAGTGAGAAGAGCAAAGTATATAACATATACCAAGTGCCATATAAAAATGACATTATTATTGTGAGAAGAGCTAATTATACAGCAACTGTAAGAAGTTGATGTGTCACCCTAGGATGCAGTGAAAGGTAAAGCTTAAAGTTGAGAAGTCAGTTGATGGAGCCCCTAGGAGATTAGAGGGAGTGATCAGTTAGAATCCCTTGGTAGAATCCCTTCCTTACTGATTGTTCCCTACTATATATGCATAATCATCGAAGGCCCTTTTGATAAATACTTTTCAGCTTGTGTTAGGTTTATGTTTACAAATCACTTTCAGTTGGAGAAAAAAATGCATCAGACTATAAGTAGTGGTTATCTTTGGCATGTGCAATGAGGAAATTTTTTTTCTGGGATTTAAATTGTTTTTTATAATCATTTTTTTTTAATTTGTACAGTGAAAAGGTTAGATTTTTATTGGTTAATTTTTAAAAATCCTTCCAAATATTCAGGTAATCTAAGGTAGTAGTTTTTTGTCTTTAATTATCTGATTGAATCTATTCTCAACTTTGAGAGTTAATACTAAATATTAGAAGTTGTTTAACCTTAGTTAGTTACATGAAATACATTTGCAAAGTGTAAAAATATGCTGGGTAGTCTCGGGTAGTCTCACTGAAGCTTTTTCTATCACAGATTGCTATAAATTGAGAAAATGGACTAGTAAGCCTTTAATAAATATTTATATGGCTCCAAATAATATAATTAAGTAAAAGTGATCATGTGATGTTTTTATTATTGACCTTTTAATTCTTAAAATTGCATCTATTTTTTCAGGAGAGAAAACCTGTCACTCTAACTTCCTTCTCCCAAACTTAAGTTCAGCAGGTAGTTAATTAAACCATATTCCTCCGATTAGAAAAATGTTTCCTACGGGCTTAGAATCATTAGGACAGGACCTGGCATGCTTTATCCATCTGTTAGCTCATATACCAAGCGTGTTAAATGGAATACTGGCTCAAATCTTAAATGTTTAACTCCCATAGGTGGTACAGTAGAGGGCCTGTGCCAGTAAACATAACAATTTCTCATTAGTGTTATTATGTGGTTATTTATTTAGCGCATCTATTGAAATGATTGATATGAAATGATAGAACTTTATAAGAAAGGAAAAATTACTTGAGTAGTGAAATCAGTATATACAAATATTATATAATACAAATGTTATGCAAATATAATACAAATATTGAGGAAGTAAAAATGCAACTCGATCTCTAGCACTCTACCCTGAGAGTACAAAGTAGTCACTGTAATGCTTAAATAATGTACCTAATTTTTTATTTCATTTTTATTTTTATCAAAGTTTTATGTATACATAATCTTAAAAATCAAGTAGTACTGTAGGTCTTCCAATGAAAAAATAGTCCCCTGTGGCCCATCCTCAGAAGCAACTACATTCAATTCATTTAGTTATTATGATATTCACTTTCAGATTTCAGTGTGTGGAATATTTTCTTGTATGGAAGAGAAGAACTCAGCTTGCTTATTTCACCCAACTCTTCACGCATATTTCCCATTCCCCTGTCCTTCCAGTGTAAGCGTTTAATGTCAGAATATTTAACCTTAGGAATTTGAAGCAGTGCTTCGTTATCTTCTGGCCTCCTTGGTTTCCATTGACATGTCAAGTCATTCCAGCCCCTGATTCTTTTTGTATATGATCTGTTTTGTTTTGTCTTACTTTATTTTGCCTCCTATAAATCTGTGGAGCCTTCTGTCTCTATCCAGGGTTATGAAATTTCATCTTGGGAAAGAGGTCAGGAGGCTGAATCAATTAGATTTGGAGAATGAGGAAAAGAAGAAGTTTAAGATGACTCCAGGTTTCTGATTTGGTTGACTAGGTAGATGTTGCTTTTAACCATCATGGCAACAAACGAGGCATGGGGAAGAATTATTTGGGGAGAGGGGAAAGAGAAGATGAGTTTGGTTATAAATATGCTGAGTCCCATGGTATATATTGCCCTGCTAGTTAAAGTGTTGATGGGAATGTCAAGGAAGACTTGTATTGAGTGAGAAGAGATATAAAACACAGGACTTTGGAACACAGCAGTAATTGAAGATTAGTCTAAAGAGAATCATCAGAAATTTTACCTGATAACTATTTATCTCTAGTCATTTAATATTCAGTCATTTAATTAGTAGTAAAGATTCTCCAGATTCTTCTTTCTGTATTAAAAAAATATTAAGCCCATTGATGATCTAGTTATTTATCATACAAAGTGCCCTGTGGAATTGTAAGATTTTCTTCTAAAATGTTATTAAATGAACAATAATTTGAAATTGCAGAACAGGAGCAGAGTTTATGAGAAGTATATGACTAGCGGGAGTTGGAGGATATATGAGTTAGGATATATGAGTTAGGATATATGAGAAAGCTGAAACTTGGGAAGCAAGTGCTATTGCTCAGCTATGCGCTGTTCTCTCTCTCTACACTACTTCACTGATTTCCTCCACCTGATCTTCCTTCCGAGAAACCCAGCTGTCTTTTCCTGCATTCTTCCTTCCCCGTCTGGTTTCACCCTACTTCTCTATTTTAATCAAGAGCTTGCTCTCAGAGGCAAACTTTATTTACCCAACACTTTTGAAGGTTTGTCTTTCAGCAAGTCTTCACAAAGTGATTTTCACTGAAAACATTCAGCCCTCTACCCTCTAAATTCAATCAATAGCATATTCTTCTGCTTCATAGGCTGTCCCTATCGTGTTTGTAAAGCAAGTACACCTCAGCAGCTTTTCTAGGGTCAGTTCCTGGGATTTGGGGTTTGAAGATGGCCACATGTTTCTGGAGGGAGTCTTTGCTCAATTCCGTTTATAAACTTTTTTTAAAAGATTTATTTATTTATTTATTTATACAAGATCTGAGATACAGGCCAGAGGTGCTGGGGGTGAGAGGATTCACCAGAAACAGGGAAACAGAACAGGCAGATTGACTGAAATACGCTGCTGAGGGCGGCAGCGGGAGAGTCAGGAGGGATCTGCTGCACCATGTGGGTAGCTCCCTGGCTGGGGCTCAAACTCTTAGGTTGCATCTTAACCCCTTGCGCCACCAGGGAGGCCCCCCATTTATAAACTTTTACTTGGACCTGCCATGTGCAAAGAATTGTACTGGAGTCTCTCAGGGATAACAAGATGAATACATAGTCATCTCAGTTTTCATAATTATCTGCTAAAAAAAAAATAGGCATATTCACTGACAAAAAAGGTAAACAAAGAATGATAAAAGCCAAATTAAAGGTATAATACAAAGAGCTATGGTAACATAGATGAAAGAGAGATTAATCCTAACTGGCAGAGTTGAGTAAAAATTCATGGGAGAGCTGTTATTTGAACTGAGTCTCAGGGCTTGAGAGGGACTTTAGAGACAGAGACCTGAGGAACACACACAAACCAAAAGTGAAAAGCT